CACAGAAAGAGCTTTTGGAGTGGGGCAGGGAGGGCTAGTGGCCTCTTACCCCAACCTCCCCTGGGCAATGTCGTAGCCCTGGGCATGGGCAGTGCCCAGGGAAGGTCAGAGGACCCATCATCCTCAGGTCTCCCCTGGAAAATGGCACCTCCAGGAAACAAGTCTAATCCCAGATGAGCCTGCAATTCCCCTGCCAGGTCGCTGTCTGGGAGGGTGAGGGAGACCAGGAAAGGGAGGCGGGACGCCGCCAACTCTATCCCACACGGGGTGCTCTCTTACCGATGGGGCAGCAGTCACAGCACGATGACGTACCAAAGCCACAACCAAGCCTTTGACTTAAGGCAAATGTTTGAGAGCTGGGTCACATGCATGAAACACACCGCTTCCCCTGTGTAATTGAGTAAAAATCGCAAAACCCATGCCCCAGTTGAAACTCCCTCTGCGTGTTTCAGTGGAAGGAGCAGCAGCTGTTTCTTCTGCCACCAGAGGGCGGGAGGTTCTGGGTCCCCCTCCCCTCTGAAATGTCCCCCAGCCATGCTCACTTCTTCCAGCAGGCTGCTCCGAGCTCTCATCCCTCTCCCTTCCTTTGCAGAGGACCCCATTATCCAGAGCTTCCTGGAAGCTGACATTTTCCTCAAAGTGTCTGACAAGGTATCGGCCGCACAGAATGATGAAGGACTGGGGGGGGAGGAGGGGGGTGTCTGCAGTCACCAGCCTATGGGGGGGCCGGTGCAGAGTATGGAGCCCTGCCAGGGCAGGAGCATCCCTGGAAAGACCTGCTTTTGGTGCCATCTCTTCCCCAGGCCTCCCCTCAGCTCATCCCAACCCCCTATCTGAGGGCCCTGAGACCCTCGGCAGCCCCCCGAGCGTCCTCCCTCACAGCGCTGTGCCCACAGTACCTGCTGTCCATGGTGGTGGAGTACTTTGGCCGTGTCGGGCTGCCTGGACATCTCTACAACAAGATCCACTTCTTCCTGGCCCTGTGAGTGCCTCCTTGGAAACTGTTCCCAGTTCTGTCCAATACTCCCACCCCACAGACGCCCCCAGTTCCACTGCCCATGTCCTGCCAGTCTCAAGAGGGGGTTCCCCTTGGCCATGAAGAAGGCAGGCCGCGAGTAGGTCCTGGGATAAGGAAAGTAGCCAGGAACCACACTTGCTGCCCAGGGATGGGGGACTGAGGGAAGATATGAGGGAAATGGGAGCTGGGAGCCTGGCCTGGGCTAAGCACAGCAGAGCCCCGTCAGGCTTGCATTGAGGACAGTCCTGCTGCCCCTAGACCCGGACCCCCTACAGAGAGAGCTCCCCCAGAGCCTCTCTCCTGGACACACTGCCCCGGCACCCTGTGTGCCGAGGCTGGAAGTTGTCACTGGGCCCATATAAGTTTCCCTCTTTCCCTGTGGCAGCTACATCGCCTCTGACATGGAGGAGGACAACCCCACCGCCAAGCGCAGCATATTCCAGTTCCTGCTGGGCAGGAAGCACTGGCTGGAGCTCTACAGGGAGTTCCTGGGTCTGAAGGTGAAGTTCTTCCATGCGATGGGGCACCAGGCCTGGGTCACCCAAGAGCTATGTGAGGAGGTGTGGCCCTCGGGAGGAGGCCGGGCCACCTGGGGTGCTGGGCTGGGCCCTTCCTCCAGGTGCTCACTCCCTTTGCTTCTCTTTCAGATCCAGGCCCAGAATCCACATCACTGGGTCTGGGGTCGGGGTCGAGAGTGCATCCCCTAATCTCCCAGGGAGTGAGCAGGGGGCTGCTGGTGGTCCGGGTGAGTGCAGGTGGAGGCTGGGCTCTGCAGTCAGACAGCCCCACCTCTGTGTCCTGTAGTCACCTCAGCTGGGCTGGCGGCCTGAGGAGGAAGCTACTGCCTTACTCAGTGCTCTGAGAACTCCTATGGTAGGAAAGTACCTGTGTTTACATCAAAATCCAAATGAATGGACTGTGGAATCATGCACTATGCAACACAAGCCCCAATTTGCATATTAATTTTTTTCTTTTAAGAAGTCTTAGAAATGCTGATCTAAGTAATGAAAACCACTGCAGGGTTTTTATCTGCCTTGAAGGTTTTGAACATAAACACAAGAGAACACTGAGGTCACCCTTTGTGGAAAGGGGCTAGGACCATGGAGACTCTGGGAGGAAAGAGAAGATGGGCTCCGGCACTGCATCGCCGCTTGTGTTCCTCCCACGTGAAGCGAGCGCCCAAGCTGCGCCCTGAATAAGATCAGGGACGGGGCTGCAGGGCTCTGAGAAAACAAGATTGCTGGGGAGAGGAAGCAGGTGCACCATGAGCTGTGAGAAGAACACAAGACAACACATTTATAGAGAACGCCCTCCTCTATCAACACTCTTTGGAGAATATGCTCTCCTTGGTTTAAATTTCGATTTTACATTTGTTCTTACTTCAAGTGGGGAAACCCTTTCCCTGGGCAGAGGTGGTGCTGGAATAACCAGGTGTGGGAGCCACGCTGCACAACAGGAGTGCTAGAGCCTTACTGGCCCTGGGGAAGGAAGGCAGGCCAGGTGCTCTGACATAAACCACAAAGTTTAATTCATCCACAGGCTTTTTATTGAGGACCAAGAACTATTGTATGTCAGGAATCTTAAAATTCTAAGAAAATAGCATTTTTAGCACAATAAAAAGAAGCAGCAAACAGAGGTAAGGGGGCCCCGCTGGGGTCTGGTCGTTTATAGGAGCATGAAGGCGATGCTGATTTCCCGAGCTTCCCAACGTGCAGCCTGTGGCAGGGTTTGCCTTCCCCTCTGCTCTGGTCTCACTTTCTTGCTTTTCTTATAGCTCCCGCCCCTTCTCCCCCTTCCAGATCTGGAAGCTGCTGCCTCCTTCCCAGGCTCCAGGTGGCACCAACATGGGGCCTCCAGCTTCCTCAGAACTGCAGGATGGACGATGCAGGGAGCACAAACCACAGCAGCCCCCAACCTCCCAGTAGGTGTCAGCCAGCAAAGGTCCCTAACCCCGGATGTCCTGGAGGGTCAGCAGTAGTGTGGAGGGGCACCCAAGGGAACCGAGAGGCTGGAGCAGGCACCTCTGTGAAGACTAAGGACCTGCAGAGGAAGAAGGGATGGACTACCGAGGAGGAAGAACCTGACGGGGGAGGCCAAAACATGACTGGAAGACGGTGAGGAAAGAGGAGATGCGAGTGGAGAAACACAAGAGAGAGGAGGCGGCCCACCCACTCTACACCATTTATACTCTACACGGGGACAACTGTGCTGGAAGCCCCTCCTGACAACCTGCACAACAGTCTTGTCCAGTGGAGAGATGGTGAAATTTCAGCCACAGGACTAACGGACACTGGAGCCTACTTATTGGTGTGTCCATCTGAGGCTGATAAAAGAGTGGGAATAAAAGGGAGAGACTGGCCCTAACCGGTTTGGCTCAGTGGATAGAGCGTCGGCCTGCGGACTCAAGGGTCCCAGGTTCGATACCGGTCAAGGGCATGTACCTTGGTTGCGGGCACATACCCAGTAGGGAGTGTGCAGGAGGCAGCTGATTGATGTTTCTAACTCTCTATCCCTCTCTCTTCCTCTCTGTAAAAAATCAATAAAATAATTTTTTTTAAAAAAGGGAGAGACTGTGTACCACTGTATCCTCTGGCATTGTAGAAATAGCATGACAAGTGGAGGAGTAGGTACATGAGGTGGAGCAGCATGCCTACTTCCTGCCAACAGATTGTGACTGGAAGTGACGTGGCCACTTCTGGGCCAAAGCCCTTGAGAGCGGGGTGTTGCCCAGCTCTTCCATCGCCATGGCTCTGAAAAGGCTGCGATGGTGAGAGCTACACTCAAGATTTTTTGAGGACCCATTAAGTAGCTGGAACTGATTCTGACGACCCTGGCATTCCTGCCCAAGAGCACGCTGCCCAGAATATCATTTTTGCTCCCTGCCAACTAATCACAAGACCCAACATACAGAGACAGGGTTGTCTCCAGATTGTGCCATCTTCTGCTCTGCTCCTGTATAAAGCCCTATTTTTCCTTTTGTTGACAACATTGTAATGACCATTTTCCCTCATACATAAGAGTTCATATGTGTTAAGTCACTGCCTCTCAAGTCGTTCTTCAATCAGAGAAAAGCATACAAATTATAAACAATTGAGAGTGCAGGCAAAGCAACAGTAGTCAAGATACTGAGTTCTTTAAATCTAGATTGAAATGGAATTTCTATAATGTACCATTTTACCTCTTTTTAGGTAAAGAAGAAAAACAATTTAAGCGTGAAGGGAAGCACATTTCGCCTTTGGGGCCAGCTGCATCTCGCCCACGGCAGGAGCAGTCACTGGGGCAGGAGAGCAGTGGAAGGAACCCTGAGCGTCAAGGGAACCAGCCCTGCTGCCTCTGCACGTCTGGGGAATGGCAGCACCCACTGCAAGGGCCAAGGCCACGGGATTGTTGCCAAAAATCTCCATGGAAATGTTTCTATTTGCTCTAATCTTCACTTTTAAAGCTAAACACCACGGTTCAGGAAGTGAACATGTGATGAGACTACAGCTTCTACCAGTTTACGGTCCAAGTGGCCTCAAGAAGCACAGAGCGCAGGTCACAGTGGAGACAGCAGGAGCTGGAAACACCTCCATGAGTACCTTTCATCTTCTAGTCCAGAGACCCCTAATACAGATGAATATTCTCTACATCTTGGATGGAAACAGACAATTTCTGAAGCTATATCTATAGTGGAATGTCATATTTTCTCTATCTAGAACAGGCTTCACATTGGGTAATTCTTCCTTAGGATATAAATCTCCCATTTAGATGATCAATCACACTTTCTGGTACAAACTAATTTAAACAAGACAACTGTGACATTTAGAAAATGCTGAAGGACTTATATTGATGTAGAAAATTTTAAAAGCTTTAAAAACTGCATTTTTGAGCATAAAGTCACTTCACTTGAATCACCACAGATTGAAGGACTTTAGAAACCAATGTCCAGCCCAGACTCCACTGCTCTAGTCTCTGGAACCCCAAATGAAATCATCAAGAGTTCTGAAAACAAACCAAAAAACTTTATTTAAAAAAGTAAATTCTAACTCACTTTTATAGATCATGTGTTAATGCTGACAGCAACAGTCTAGAATATTTAAAACACTAAGGTTTTAAAATACATTGAGGTTTGTGCAGCTCATTTCCCCTGATTATATTATAACACTTACAAATGTTTCTTTAGCTGTGTTGTTTGGTCATGTTTTTGTGCAGAAGTCACATTGCAGGACAGTTTTTCCACCAGAGGCAATCACATAACCATTGGCTGTGGGTTTCCAAGAAGCAAAGGAGCCAATCTTAGCAAAGCTCGAACAGGCATTTTCAGCTGCTTGCATTTGAAGAGTAGTTCCGCAAAGCTTGTGCTCCCTGAAGAGATGCAAATGGTGGGAAAGGTCACACCTCTCAATAGATTCAGCCCACATCCTCCTTCAAGGAGACAGCCTCAGCCAGGTTACAGCTGGCATTCTTCCCTTTAATATCAACTACCCAAACACAACATTTAAATTATGAATTTCCCTAATGCACTGTAAAACATAATTTAATGTAAACATTTAAATTTATTCATTCTGTACTTCAGAAAGTGACCTATAACTAACTATATGTGAAACTATTTTTTAATTACATATATTATTTAAATACAATTTAAAAACTAAAAATAACTTTAAAAAATCAATTAAGAGAGAAAAACAATATGAACATTTAGTTTGCTGGTACGTACAGGTTGTTTGGGCTCTGTGAGGAAGAACCCAACCTTTTTTTTTAATGCTTTTATTTTTTTTAATTTCTTTATTATTAAGTTATTACATATGTGTCCTTAACCCACCATTACCCCTCATCCCCCCCACTCATGCCCTCATCCCCCTGTTGTCGGTATCCATTAGTTAGGCTTATATGCATGCATACAAGTCCTTTGATTGATCTCTCCCTCTTACCCCCACCCTCCCCTACCTTCCCTCTAAGATTTGGCGGTCTGACTGATGTTTCTCTGTCTCTGGATCTGTTTTTGTTCATCAGTTTATGTTCATTATATTCCATAAATGAGTGAGATCATGTGATATTTATCTTTCTCTGACTGGCTTATTTCACTTAGCATAATGCTCTCCAGTTCCATCCACGCTTTTGCAAATGGTAAGAACTCCTCTTTTACCACAGTGTAGTATTCCATGTACCACAGTTTTTTAATCCACTCATCTGCTGATGGGCACTTAGGCTGTTTCCAAATCTTAGCTATGGTGAATTGTGCTGCTATGAACATAGGGGTGCATATATCCTTTCTAATTGGTGTTTCTAGTAACCCATCTTTTTCTGAATGTAAATAAAAGTTTATGCATGTGTAAAGTTTAGAGAGTTTTTGTCAGAAAAGGTTCTAAAAAGTAACATCCACCCATGAATGAAGACAAAAACCCCCTAGAGAAAATAACTGGCTAGATATGTCTCCTACCAAGAAACTAAAAACCTAAGTGATACTGAAAAGAGGGATTTAGGTTTGCAGTACCTTCCAGTCCTACTGATGGCAGGTGCCGCGGAGCTGGTACCGAGTGGTAGACAAGGAAACAGGCCAGCATACTCAGCTGAGACTCTTCCCAGGGCTGCCCACTGAGATAGGCATGCAGGCACACATCACCCCCAGCTATAAGAGAAACACAAATGAAACTACGTACCTGACAGACAGAGGGAATGCCTTCTTTTTATTCTTTTTCATCAAGAACTCAATGAGCATTTACCATATACTAGGCAGGGACTGTCGCTGCAGAATTTAGAGTTGGGGGGAACAGAGAGATCACAAAAACAAATGCATAACTGCAAATTGTGATGAGTGCTATAAAAGTACAGTGGCACACTAGCTGTCTCCACAAACACCCACTTTACCACACTTCTCTCCACTGTGTAGCACTGGAAGGGACTGACTTCAGTTCCAAGACTAGATTCTGATTAGTCTTAGCCAGAGGTTCTCAAACTTGAACCCAGAGAGCTGATTAAAACACATCCAGAATTTCTTGATTGAGACCAGAAAACTTGCATTTACAACAAGCGCCCAGGTGCTGCTGCTCCAGGGACCTCACTTACAGAACTAGTGGTCTGGGCACCGGGCAATCCCATTCTCCCAACAGGACAGGGTCAGGAGAAGGACATTCTCTGTCACGGGAACTGACTGAGGAACGTCCAGGAGTTCCAGTTCAAGTCCCAGATGTGAGATGCGGGGTAACCCGTTAGGTGAAGGCTCTGGGAAACAAAAATGTCCTAATTCCTGTGGCAAAGCACCAATAAGCCATTCTGTCCTTCCTCTGAGCAAAATGCTGAGCAAGGAATTGTTACAGTCACTAATCGAAGTTTTTGCTTCAAGAAAGTAGAAAAAGAAAAGCTTGCTTTAGGTTTATTTTGCTTTTTGTTTTCTAGTTTCTTAGAGCAGGAACTTAGATTAGTGTCTTCAGACTGTTCCTCTTTCATGTTGTAAGCATTTAGTGCTATAACTCTCCCTCTCAACATGACTCCCACTACCAGATTTCAGATTTTACTCTGAACCTGCAGTAATTAGGACAGTATAGTCCTGGCATATAGACAGACTGACCAACCAAGGGTACAGCACTTATAGAAACAGATTCACAATGATTATTCAGCATATGATTTTCAACAAAGTGTCAAAGCAATTTTATTACAAAGAAAAGTCTTTTCCACAAATGGTACTGGAACAACTGGACATTGTATTAATTTAAAAAAAAATTCAACTCGTACCTCATACCACATAAAAGATTAATTTGAGATTAATCATATACCTAAATATCCTATATAATAAAAGCCAAATATGCTAAGTGTCCAGTCGTCCATTCAACCAATCAAAGCTTAATATGCTAATGATATGCTAAAGCTGCTCAACCGCTCGCTATGACATGCACTGACCACCAGGGAGCAGACAGTTGACCATCGACTAATTGCTATGAGGTGCACTGACCACGAGGGGGAAGACACTCCGACCGATAGGTGAGCTTGCTGCTGGGGTCCGGCAGATCGGGACTGAGCGAGAAGGGCTGGACACACCTTGAAGACCTACAGGGGTCCCTTCCCCCAGCTGGCCAACCTCCCGCATCCCTCCCCGGCCTGATGTGCACCAATGGGGTCCCTCAGCCTGGCCTGCATCCTCTCGCAATCTGGGACCCCTCAGGGGATGTCAGAGAGCCCGTTTTGGCCCAATCCCACAGGCCAGACTGAGGGACCCCACTGGTGCATGAATTTGTGCACTGGGCCTCTAGTAAAAGATAAAATTGCAAAGTTTTTAATAGAAAACTTTGAAGTTTTTTCATGACCTGGAGTAGGAAAGGTTTCTTGGACAGTATTTGCAAAGTAATAACTATACAACAAACTGAGAAATTAAACCTCATCAAAACTTAAAACTTCTGTTCATCAAAAATCACCCTAAGAAAAGGAATAGGCAAAATGTAGGAGGACATATGTGCAAACCATCTCACAAAGAACTTGTGGCCAGAATTTGTAGAAGCTCCTGCAACTCAATAACCAAAAGAAAGACAATTTAAAAATGGGAGAGGTTAAACAGACACTTCACAAAGGCTGTATGAGTAAAAAAGAAAGCACATGAAAATAATCAACACCATGAATTACCAGGGAAATGCAAATTAAAACTAAATGAGATACCACTACATATTCACCAGCAGCCTAACATTAAACCGACTGACAATGCCAAAAACTGCACTGCAGCCCACTGCTGGTGGGGACAGAAAAAACGGCACAATTTGAAAAATAACTGAATGTGGCAGGTACAGATGACAGAAGGATGGCAGAATGCTGGTGACTGCTGAGGCCAGGTGACAGGCTTATTAAACTACTCTGTTTATTTTATTATGTTTTAATTTTCCATAATAAGATATTAAAAAGTTAATAAAACTTCTCTACCTTCTTAACTTAAAACCCATTTTATTTTGCTCAGTTTAAAATCTAATTGAGGAGACATATACATATCTAGACAATATGGTAAATCCAATGCATTTTTGGATGGATGAGTGATCTGGGTTATTACTGAGTGACCTTAAAAGTAAGGCAAAACATGCAGACATTTCCATGATGATGCATACATCAGTTCTACATCTTCACTGAATTTATTGTGCTCTATCCCAAAGCCAACAACTAATTCTTCTGAGAGTGGAGATCATAGATTTAAGAGTTTTAAAAAATGATGGTTCCTCACTAGAAAATAAATACACATTTTTGGAAACTGAGGCAGCAAATTTGGTGGAGGCTCAGAGCAATGCTGAAACCATCAAGTGTCCTGAAGAGCAATAGGACGAAAGCAGTTCAGCGCTGTTTTAGAGAATGCTCTAGAGCAGTGGTCGGCAAACCGTGGCTCGCGAGCCACATGTGGCTCTTTGGTCCCTTGAGTGTGGCTCTTCCACAAAATACCACGTGCGGGCACGTACAGTGCAATTGAAACTTCGAGGCCATGCGCAGAAGTCGGTTTTCAGCCTGGGCGAGTCTATTTTGAAGAAGTGGCGTTAGAAGAAGCGGGGAGTGTCGGTCTGTCGGGCGCAGGCAGGCTGCGTGATACGCAGCGTGGGGGAGGCGCGTGCAATTCATGTTGAGAATGGGAGAGTTGGAAGGGGTAGTAGTCCTCAGCGAACATACCTCAATCAGATTGAGGACGTTTTTAGCAAAGGCCACCTTAGGAGTACCCTAATTAAGTTAATAACAATGTACCTACCTATATAGTTTAAGTTTTAAACATTTGGCTCTCAAAATAAATTTCAATCGTTGTACTGTTGATATTTGGCTCTGTTGACTAACGAGTTTGCCGACCACTGCTCTAGAGTCACTGCCAAAGTTTCATTTCATTCTATGAAATCTGCAAATCAGAGATTTAAGAACATATTTCTTAACAACAGCAAAGGTCTGCAGTACATGATAAAATGCTAAATAGAAACAAAACAAGAAAGCCTATAAAATAATTTGTGTTTTTCCCCAAAGTAAGAAAAAATATATTTAAAAAAATTTGTGATCTTTTAAATGACAAGAGGAAATGATAGGGTACACGTGTTAAATATAAGCACTGGGAGCTTGAAATTGCTGTTTCCCAAATCTGGTTTATAATTTAATTTTTTTCCAGAAATTTATGTCATGGTATTTTATTATAGGTAGGTAGCTTTCCTTTGTTGTTTTTTTCCTTTTTAATATATTTTTATTGATTTCAGAGAGGAAGCAAGAGAGAGAGAGAGAAATACAAACATCAATGATGAGAGAGTATCACTGATCAGCTGCCTCCTGCACACCCAACAACACAGGCATGTGCCCTGACCGGGAATCAAACCATGACCTCTAAGATTCATAGGGTCAACACTCAACCACTGAGCCACACCAGTTGGCCTAGGTAGATAGTTCTTAACTTAATTATAGTTGAACTCTTAGGTTCTTGATCGCTAGTACATGAAAAAATCAAGAATGTTACCACTAATGTTACTAGGGTTAGTATTTACCCAAAGCAGATTGCTGTCAGAAAAGTTTAAGAAGTATCTGAATGAACAGAAAAGACTAAAATCAAGAAGTTAACTACTAAAAACCAATCTCAGCCATATGTCACACACAGACAGCTTTCCATAAGTCAAAAAGCTCCATCATTTGTCTCGGGGGAAGACTCACTTTGACACTGTTATGAGTAATGTCACAATTTTCTTTCAATCACAAGTCAGTACATCCACGGACAGAAGGCCACATTTACATGATGTCCCAGGTTCTCATGGACTCAAGAGTTGGTAAAACAAGCATTTGCTCAATATCCACACACCAAATTTTCAGTGTACAGTGGGGGTGGAGGCTTGGGGGTCTAGAGGGTAGAGAAGAGGAAAGAAGACAGCTGCTGGCCTCAGGGAAGCAATGCCACTCAGAAACAAAAGACAGAGGCCAGAAAGAAAACATGATCTGACACTAGAGAAAGGTTCTTAAGTGTCAAGTGCTATTTAAAATGCTCTGGATGTTCTCTCCAGGGTTTACAAAGCAGGATCAAATACATTTTTAAAGAAGCTAAAGGCTGAAGCAAGTAATCAGTCTACTTCATTAACTGGAAACATTAAATCCACAGACGTTCTGGTTTCTCCTCAGATTCGTCTTGCTTTCCAATGAGAACATTAGAACAGAAAAGCTGAGTCCCAGCATCATCTAAGAAGCACAACGGGCACAGGCTTTTATTACCTTGTAGCCACTGGTCCAGGGTGTTATCAATAGAACATTTCACAACGGGCAGGAACTCAGAGTTCATGAAGAGCCCTCGCTTTGGGTGGGTCTGCAGCCGCTCCTGATGGCTTCTGGAGCTGAAAAACTCCAACACCAACTTTATTTGCCAAAGTTCAGATGTCTCAGACATTTCTCTTCTTCCCAGTCTTCTTACAGCCTTGAGAAGAGAAAAGGAATAGCTCTTAGGTAAAAGCCACAGGGAGATGAAGTCACTGAAAAACCCAACAGGTCCATAGCCAGTCACCACTGGGAACCCTGGTGGGTATCATGGCATGACTGGGGTCAGGCCAGAAGGCAAAAGCAACAATTCTGATAATACTGCTCTTAGGACCCATCTGCAAAGCCGCCATGGTGGCAACCATACAGGATATTCCCTCCATAGAGACCTCCTGAGACAGCAACAAGGAAGGTTCACGGCCGAAGGAAAGCACATTCCTAGCCACAATGGCAACCAGCACCAGTGTGCACTTCCCACATTGACACTTCCTACTCAATATTGTCGGAGACCAGGCAGTGAAGCATTCTGGGCCTATGTGATTATATTGGACATTGCCTTTGAGTTATTTAGCACATTACTCAGTATGGTGTGATTTTCAGGTCTGGGAGACTGTTCCCTGTCTAAATGTATTTCCCACTCTGCTTTTCAGTAGGGACAATTATGCCATTAGATGATTTACCAGATGCTTATCTGTAAACTCACTGTATCATATTCACCTGAAGAGCCCTTTAAAACTATACACCCTAGATCTCATCCCAGAAATTCTGACCCTTAGCTATAAAATGGGTTTTGAGGATCTGTGTTTTTAAGATTTCCCAGATAAATTTTAGCCAAGTTAGAAAACTACTGGCTTGGCTTAACTGCAAATTTGGGTCTGAAAGATATACTACGAAAAAGCCTTATGTGTTACTAATAACCCAGAGTGAATCAATTGCTTCCAACCTGTAGGAAAGCTATCAAGCATCATTTCCTGCACTGCCCTTTTAAAAGAGCAGGAACACACACACACAAATTAAAAACGAATTTCCACTCCCTAAACTATAAACTGGTCCTGTAAGCTCTTGCTAGCTTCACCTCACAGGTGTGCACATGACTGTCAGCAGCAGGCACAGCTTGTTCACTCACTGCTCACTTGCACCGTCTCCTCCAGGGAGAGGCTCGCAGGAGGGAGGCCAGAGGCCACACAAGGAGGTGAATGGGAACCCTGGAGTAAGGTAGCCCAGAGAGGGCACTGCTGTCATAAAAGATGCTGAGCTTTTTTGATAAGCACAGAGCTTTCAACTTTGATAAAGCTTCATTTTCTGAATTTCTAAATGCAGAGAAGTAAAAAGATGAACACTGGGAACCTTTTCTCCCCGTTCAGAATACGTCTCGTCAGAAGTGAAATAGGTTTCGGAACCACACCTGATCCATTGCTATGTATGCAGGCAGCATCTCCGGGGTCTCCTGAGTAACACACTCGTAGAGCACTGAAGAAAACAGATCCAGAAGTTCCTGCTTCTGTGAAAAATCAGAAGCTGTTTGTAGCACATCAGTGTACATTCCAGAATCAAATCAAGAACAACTTAATAACAACTAAATGGCCCATTCTTTTTTTTTAATATATTTTTATTGATTTCAGAGAGGAAGGGAACTAGAGAGAGAAACATCAATAATGAGACAGAATCATTGATTGGCTGCCTCCTGTACACCCCCTACCAGGAATTGAGCCCGTAACCTGGGCATGTGCCCTAATGGGGAATTGAACTGTGACCTCCTGGTTCATAGGTCAATGCTCAACCACTGACCCACACTGGCCAGGCTACATGGTCCATTCTTAAGCTCTGCAGTGAATAACAGAAAAGGGTAAAATAGCTGGCTCTTTATAAAACCACAGCACTAGCAACATTAAACATCAATAAAATACAACCAAAATTAAGTCCCAAGGGACAGTTAAGGATGTAAGTGCTATGAAGGAGAGAAGTGAATCAATCCTTGGGTTGTGCTGGCAAGGGCAGGATCCAAAAAGGGAACCCAGCACCCAAAGATGTAGTAGAAACACTAAGCGGAACAAGTCTGGGGGAGGCAGCAAAGTCACCCCCAGCTGAGGTTAAGGGCACGTACGGGCCTTCATCAGAGTCCTGTGGCCTTTGATGCAGTGCCCGGTCTTTACTTAGTTGTGATCCTGAGCATGTGACATCTCTGAGTGGCAGTTTCCTCATCTGTAAACCCCGAATGATAAAGTACCTAGCCTCAGGGTGAGAATTAAATGAGAAAATTACATGAAGTACTGAGCAGAGTGTCTAATACAGGCATCCCTCATTTTACTGCACTTGCTTTACTGCGCTTCACAGGTGTTGCACTTTTTGATGAATTGAACACAAGACCCTCCTCCAACAAATATATGATGACCTGCATCACCGTGAGACCCACGTCACCATGGCACCTGTGTCATCACGGTGGTCTGGAACCCAACCCACAAAACCTCCAATGTATGCCTGAATACAGTAAAGATTCAATAAATTAGAGGGTACAGGTTATCCCACTTTACCCTCTAAACAAGAATGTGAAGTAGGTTCTCTTTTAATCCCACTTTTAAAAATGAGGTAACTGCCTCTTGGAGAGGTTAAAAATTTTTTTAAGGCCACACACACTCTGGTTGGCAATTGGCCATCAATCCCAGATCATCTAATTCTACATCCAGTCTTTGCCATCTGCAACTATTGAATAAATCAGTGATCTGGGCAACCTGTGAATCCTGAAGAGAACAGTTTTATGGTCAACAGAAAGAAGGGTTATAAAATACACAGGAAATAAAATAAAATTACATAAATATAAGAGGTTTGTAAATACTGAAAACATAAATCAGTATAAGAACGGACATAAGAAAGTTACATCACCTATTAAAATTAGTGTCTTCAAAATTTTAACTTGCTTCTTCTATCAAGGTAGGAAATTACTAAATTTTATAGTTTTAGACTATGTAAGGGTACTATAGATTTTCTTGGTGGCATCCACAGATAGACATAATAACAAACAATATAAGCAAATCATATAATGCATACCTGACCCATGTTCACAGTGGGTTTGCAAAAATACTCAGCAAATGACAGAAGTGCTGGATCAGAAGTGAATGCTGAAATTGTTTCAGGCTAAAAATTAAATAACAAGAAACAGAAGTAAGATCAAAGGATTATTTCCTTTATGCTTCAAATGGCAACGTATGCAGTTTTAAGAAATCTACCTCATTTTCTTCAATAATACCACAAAACCCAAGATTGAACAAACTTGCTAGAGCTTCATCAACCTGTTCTCAGGAGTTATAAGAAATCAAAAGGCCAATAATAAGCAGGTCTTTCTTACACAACTCACCCCAAAAAAGGCTTTCACCTCATTCATTGACTAACTGAAAAGCAAACTAGATTGTTGCAGAAAAGGTATGGGAGGGAAATGCCACTCAAGCCACTTGCAGAAAGAAAAATACTGGCTCTATCATTCTACTTACATAAGATAATAAGTCTTCAAAATCATAGACAGAAAGTAGAATGGAGGTTGCCAAAGGCTGGGGATGGGATGGAAAGTGGGAGTTATCCTTCAATGAAGCCAACGTTTCCATTTTGCAAGATGAAAGGAGTTTTGGAGATGATGGAAGTAATGACTATACAATATGAATGTACTTATAACACTGACCTGCACACTCAAAGAAGGTTAACATAGTAAATTTTATGTTATGTGTAGTTTCCGACATAAAAAAAAATTAGAAGGGAAAAAGAAAAGAGTATTTCCCAAGGTTCAAGACTGAAAATGGAATATGAATGTATATCACATTTTATCATTTTCCACTAAGGTTTATATTTTACTTCTGAACTCCCAGGAGGCAGAAAATTGAGATGTCTTTTAATTGTTATATACTTTCCCCATTCAAACTCAAGTCTAAATGTACCTATTTTCTTTACAAACTAGATTAGGCTCTGATTAACATAAGAAGCAATAGTGCTAATAAATTAAGTTAAACTCTGTCCAAAAGTCCTACAAAGGTATTTCTTAGACAACCTATCAAATAGTGACAAACAACATTCCCTGATGTTAACTACATCTATTTAAACCTGGGGAATTTTTGTATTTAGCCATAGGTAACTGACCTAAAATGAAATATGAGTTGAGTTAAAATAAACTACTATCTCCTTACTTAGAAAACCAAAGACGGACTCTCAGTCCTCTGCTGCCACTGAGCTGGTCTGTGTGCCATGTTTTTGCTGTATGTAACTATCCTTAGGGGTCCTGACATCTTTACACGGCTTCTAATGTATCTCCCGTAGAAACATATTTGTTCATGGAATTCCTGAAAACTGAGTTAAATTCTGAAATTCTGCGGTAGATCATGGAACATATTTCGAGCGTGGAAGCTTATTTGACTTCAGCAAAATATGTACTGACCCCATGGGAATGAGATTGCTTCGTATACCCTTTAACTATTTATTCATTCCAAATACTACTGTATTAGCATTCAGATACTTGGAGGATAAAGCCAATAAAATAAGGCTAAACCTGTCACCATTTTATCTTCACCAAGATATAAGCAACAAATACAAATTTAAAAATGGTACCAAGTGCTATCCTGCAAAAATATTTTTGCCATGAATTAAGTAAATCTTGAGAGAGTGCAGGATTAATAAGTGAAATTATTTAAACTAAATATTTTTATAGCGCTAAGATATATTGTGACTATCCTTGCCGTTAGATGTGAATCATCCTTAGAGTCCTGCACATGGCCCATATTTTACTATGGTTGCCACTTAAAGCAGCGGAGGGGTCATTCACTCCTTACACTCTGCAGTGATGAGAGGAAGCAGGTCCATCTAAACCACCATCAGTGCTATCACAGAAGTAAGTTTTTAGGTGGGCCAGAGGAATGTGGAACTCGCCCCTCTCCTTCAGTTTTTACCAAGCCACACTACCTTGAAAGCCCGAGCTTCCGAGTTCCTGTTAGCAACCGTCTGGGCCAACAGACTCTGCCATCCCATTGGATCGTCCTTGTAGGAGAGCTGTCCTGCTCTAAGCTTCACATATAAAACCCCATCCTTGGAAAGGATCGACCTGAAAGGAAATAAGAATGAACTTAATATGAGGTATTGCTGGCAGCTGTTGCTTCAAACGTCATGTTTCCCAACACCATGTTCCCATGAGATAAAATCTTAACCATTTTCCACTAAAATATATGGTTATTTATAGTGCCTAAAATCAAACCAGTCCCTACAAGAAAGCCAAAATAAAGCTCTGTTTGTCTTTGGTGTCTAGATTCACAGAACTTGTTAAATAAGAAGGCATCCTGACTGTCCTCATGAGTGAGCTTCAAAGGCAGTATTTTATCTGACACGTCTTCATGTTCTCTCTATCCCTGAGTCCTATGAGTCGGACTAAGAAGCACCAAATCACTACTGACTGGTTGCAACAAAAAGAAAATAAAGCTGCAAATCTAAAGGCAGAACAACACAGAATAAAGCTACTATATAGAAAGTTGGGAGGAAATGGAAAATGAGACTAAATTATAAAAACTTTTGCAAGCTTGTTAAATTTTCTGGAAATATAAAGACTTAATTTACATATCACCATAGGTATAAAACTATTACATTAACATTCACTATTCATTAAAGAATTACTTACATATGATGATTTCAACCCACAACCAATCTATCATAAGCTAAATTTTATGACAACAATCTAACAAGAGAAGGTAAAGAGATGCAACAGAAATGTCATCTGACAAACATCAACTCAACTGTCATCAAGCTCCCTTTGTGGGCATACACATCAGCCTTATTTTCTTAAACTAAATCGTTCATTATTGCTCCAACTACAGTTCCATTACTGCCCCAACTTAAGTCACTTCAAGTTTCTCAATGAATAAACATAAACATTTAAGGTTTTATTTCTAAATTAAAATTTTCACTTTCTCACACAAATGTTTCAAAGATATTGTTCTGAATGAGACAGAAGGATGACAAGAACCATTCTAGATATTCTTCCCATGTGCTTCTATTCACTTTACAGATATGTCGGAGAAATTCAATAGACTTACTTTAAGTGCTGCGTTCCCTTGCTTAAATCTATGAGCAGTTCCCAGTATCGTGGACCTTTAACTTTAATCTGCCAAGACAAATATAAACACAGTCAGCCCAATGCTGAAAAAGTGCTAGTCTGACAAAATGAAACCCATGCTTCACAGAAGAAATAAGAATAACTGGACTGGAAAGAGATGTTGAAAGGTTAACAAACTCCATTTCCAAAGGTGCGTGTGAGTCATGTTCTGAGGCCATCTAACCTACCAGCAAAGGCCTTCCAACTCCCCATGACACCTCCTGGGACTGCTTTTCTATTTCCTGCAGAAAGCGGGAAAGGGGTAGTAGGCACCGTGTCTGGCTGTGAAGGTGGCAAGAAGCAGGCCAAAGAGATGAATGAGGACGGCAAGGCTTTCAAGCAGAAGCAAAAAGAGGTGAAGAAACTCAAGGAGCTAAAATCAAAGGCCGTGGAAAGGTCCCCTGGTTACAGGTAGAATTTAAAAATCTGGCAAACTCTGGTGTGGCTCAGTTGGTTGAGCACCATCCTGTGCACCAAAAGGTTGCCAGTTCTATTCCTGGTCAGGGCATATACCCAGGTTGCTGGTTTGAACCCCAGTCAGGGTGCAGGAAGCAACTGATCAATGTTTCTCTTTCACACAGATGTTTCTCTCTCTCCCTAAAAAGTTAATAACAACTTTTTTTTTTTTTAAAGAAATCTAGCAAAAAAGTGAGCTGCTCCTTAGGCCTAGGGCAATGGTGATCCTTAACTCCATTTCTGTTTTAACATCTGGATTCCCTGTCATAACATCTGCTGCCACCTATCGCTAGAATGAAGTGTTCTCTTGGAGCCTGAGTACATTTAAGAATAAACTTTTGTAATAAATAATAATCATGCAGTGGCTCTCTAGTTCTTCTCTGTCATTTCAACCTTAGCTGTGAGCTCAGAGTAAACCCAGCCCAGAATCCTGCCAAAATGTGTTCTTCAGTCTTCTACCCCGATTCTGTACCACCTGGAATTAAACCTATTCATTTGGAAAGAAAACAAAACAAAAAAACACAGAGAAAGCAAAGGATTTTGTTTAACTATTTTTTATGCTATGCTGCTCTGGTGACTTTATCCCTTGGATAGATCTCCCTAAATCATATCCAACTTACCTGCTTTAAAAGATGGAGTTCAGGAAGAAGGGTAGGAGCCATCAGTTCTTCTTTGGTTTGCTCATACCACTGAGTGCCCTTCACAAATACAAGAGCCACATTCACGATTGAGTTAGGGCAATGATTTTCAACCTTTTCCACCTCATGGCACACATAAACTATTTACTAAAGTTCTATGGCACACCCAAACATATTTTTTGCCAATCTGACAAAAAAATAGGTATAATTTTTATTCGTTCACCCCGGGCTGCTATTGTTGTATTGGCTGGAGTCATTTTTAAAATTTGACAATCTAAGGGAAAAGAGGTCAGTGCACCTGACTAAATAGTCAGGTATTGCATGTTTTGAAAATTCTTGCGGCACACTTAGTTGAAAATCACTAAGTTAGGGGGAGCTACAAAGAAGAAACATCTCCACTCTACACCTCTCCTTCCCTGCAGTTTGTACAGACTATCAAATAGCACAACATCCTCTGATACTCAAGTCTCAAAGGGCTCAAGCCTACAACCCACTGTGGGTCCATACCACCTTTATCACATGGAGCACTGCACTCCGATGCTGGCGATACTGCTAGTCTGCACTTGACAGACCTCATGCTGTCTTCTCTGCTGGGACCATGTCCCTGCGGTTGGCACATCTCAGCCCAAACATAGTGGCTGCCTTAACTGTCCTCCTGTCCTGCTGCCTCTAACCCCCCAGAGATAGATGGAGCACTTCTCTGCTTCCCCTGCATTCCATGCATACCTCTGATTACCACTCTATTCGTACAGCACCCATGCCTGGCTCCCCAATGGGTGGACAAAAAATATGACAATGTCATATTTTGTATCCCAGAGCCTAGCATAATTTTGACACATAAAAGGTACTCAATTATTTTCTGAATGAAAGATACATCATTATGTGTAATCTAGTCCTGCATCTAAATCAAAGATCTCTCCTCAAATACAGGACTGTGGGCTTTCATGTCCTTTGCTAACAAATCTTACAACAGTTCCAACTTGGTTCATTTTTTAGAACACTACCACCAGCCACATATAGTTAACAGGGACACTTTCAAATAAGCTCTGAGGATGAAAGGGCAGCTGCTGATCTCTAAGAGCTTAGACTCACAGACTGTAAATGAGCCTGGCTGGCTGGCAGGATGTGTGAGAACTGTGGAGGCTTTAGTTTTTATGAGAGTTCAACTCATTACTGTCATTTTTTAAAGGACACTTCTGAAATACTTTGACCTGCAAAGATGAATGAGTGGTAGTAAAATTACAAATAAATGACAGGTGAAAGTGTTACCTTATAGGTAACTTCTAAGAGGGCATAGCAGGGGGTGTTTGTGTCCACATCCACAGGCACCAGCAGCCGTGGTTCTGCAGCCAGCACGTACAGGTGCCGCAGAGCCTGGAGGTGATACCTGTTCACAGAAAACAGACAGAAGGTAACCAACAGGTGACAACAGCTCGAGCTCTACACTCTGCTGTGACCGACAGACTGAACCAGAAAGACGGTAGCATGCTCTCTTCCAATGACAGTTATCCTGAAGGAAAATAAGAAATCCAATTAAAATGTCATGGAGAAATTCTTTTAAAAATTATAGATATTTGATCCTTTACCAACGAACTCTTTACTTGAGTTTCCAGTTACAAGGTTTTATAGGGTTGTAACATTTACCTAACATGAAAATATGTAGTAATAAATTGATCATTTATAAAATCAGATTTCAAATATCCTTTGCTGCTCAAAACAGGCATCCTGTTTCCCCTCCTAAGGTATTTACTTTCAGTTCTCATTTTTTCCTTAAGTACTCGTAGGGAAGAAGGGGGAAGAAAGATTGCCAGCTTCCTCAGACAGGAAAGCTCTCCTACAAGGATGTTACACCAAAAATAATGGGTGAGATTATGACAATATTTTTTAAAATTTGTATCTTAGAATTTAAACACACAAAGAAAGTTTTTATATTTCAAGATCCCAGGAAAAAAGGATAAAATGAAACCTCATTATATTTTAAATTTTAGTTATAGCAATACCCTCCTCCTTCCCACCAAAATTTACCCACCCCTACAAAACTATTTGAAATAAAATCAATCCTGGCCAGAAAAAAACTACTATTTATCAGTTATATAAAGGTTTTTAGCGCTCAACACCAAATTGCTTTTTTAAAATAGCTAAACCAACTTATAATATAACCAGTAATGTGTGTGGTTTTCCACTATACTCTCACCAATAGCTGACCATAATGACTTTCCTAACTTATATTAATTTAACAATAATGTTCTTACGCACCACCTATCATTAAAGTGTGGGCTTCGTGTCAGGCCACTTTGTAAAAGAACTTGTGCTATGGGCTACAAAGCAGTTTAAAGTGATGGCTTTGCTCCACAATGAGGCTTCATCCCTGGGTAGCTGGGGTGCCTTCTGTTGAGCACACTGGTCATCTCAAATGTCATGGGATGCAAGCAGCTACTTCCCTCCCTTAGGCCATGCTGTACCTGATGTCTAGAGAAATTGGTTTCTTGTGCTCTGAAGGCAAAGCATTTGTATTGTCAGACTACTCCTATGTGTTTAAGATTTACTGCTCGCTACCACTTTTAAATTGACCGATTTTTTGCTGCATTTTGTTTTTCTTGTCCTTCCCATGTCATTTATATAAAACTTCTTGGCACTCATGTAAAAGAGAGAAAAAAGTGATTCATATAGACATTGCCACTAAATCAGACAAATTTCTCTCTTGGAATTAATTATAGCACAAAATATATCATCTTCAGCTCCTCTTGGCTATTATCTTTTGATCAAATTTTCCCTAAAGATAAACTTGGCAATCTACTTCCAGGTCTAGAGCAATTCTAGTGATTGAAGTACCATGAAAGACCAACCAATAATCAGATGTCCAAAGTTCTCTTCTAGTCTAATACTTTGTAAGAGAAACTTTTAAAAATAGCCCGAAAGATAACTAAGTTCAAGAACACAATAAAGCTAATTTGGAAATGAGTCCCTGGAACCAAAATGCGACCAAATTATCCCCTTAGAGAGTTGCAGAGAGATCATGTGGGTCAGAATTACTGGACTCACCGATTGTCAGTGCTGTGAGCTGGGAAGTGTGGGTAAAGGGCACAGAGGAGAGCAGCAATGGAGGAGTTTGAGGTGCTCAGCGAGTACCTGGGAGATAAATTCAGGCAGTACAGACATAATTAATGATAGTGTCAAACTTTCACGGCATTCTTGAAAACCAGCTATTGGGGTATTTATTATGGCAAGGCATACCAATGGCAACGCCTTGAAAATACATGTCAATGCTGTGAAAATTTCACTTCTTAGTAAGTATGCAAACTACTTCAAGATCATGCACTACTTAAAGCAGAAGCAATATCCCACAAATGCTAAATTACAAAATTTGAACTAATAAGCAAAGCTTTAACCTAAAGTAGCATTGTACTGTGGACCATGAATGCAGTCCTAGAGATTATGGACATTTAAAAAGTCATGTATAAAGTACATCCCCTTCTTCTCCAGTTTTATAGATAGCTATTTTTAAAATTATGAACATTACTTTTAAATATACAAGATTTTTACTGGGTATCTAAAATTTCCATTTCTGTAAAGCATGAGCATTTCCTTAGAATATTTAACTCAGTGAAAAAGGAAAAAGTATTAAAAAGTTGCAATAATTGTGTAAACAACTATTTCTCAAAATAAAAATGGTTTTTCATTATCAAAGATAAACTTATTTTATAAAAGCCACATACTCTTAGTAAAGTAAAATCTTCCAAATTATTTTAATGTTGTTCAAATTATGGCAAACAGGCAGGTTAGTCTAAAGTTCTGGAGTTTTTCTTACAAATATTTTGAAATAAAGATGGTACAAGACACCACATAAAACCACTGTAGAAGCTACTTAATATACATACATATTTTATTCCATACACACACACACACACACACACACACATCCTCCAACTGCTTTCCCTGCCTATCTTTAAATTAGGGTATCAAGTAAGAACTTAGCATTTATCATACACCACACATATTTAATGAATTTAGAAAGAAAAGATTTCAAAATTTAAGAAAATATTTGACAGGTGCATAAAATAGGCCATTTTCTCTTTACCATTACAATAAAACTAAAATCCAAATGTTGGCTATTAATGTCAGGAATTTTAACATTGAATGTAAGGGTGTAGCTGTACTATAAGCGTAAATGTTGTCACAGAGTACACATAACCATGAAACGACCAGGAATCACTAGAAGAGCAGAGGCAGCGTGGGAGAAAACCTACTCAACATGAAAGACCAAGCAGGGTTGTACAGTATGGAATGGTGAAAGATGGCATTGAATAAGAGAATAAAATTAATGTAGGGTCTTATTTTGAAAGGAAAATAGTATTTCAAAAATCATAAAATATGAATATTTATACTAATATTTCTACAGCCATTCTTAATTCTATACAACTAAAGAAAGAACAGGTGTACAAAGCCTGTTAAAAGGGCATGCAACCTTTCTGACAACCTCTGCTTTCTATGCTCTGGAAAGGCAAGTTCCAGTGTTTAGTTCAGTCTTTAAAAAGAAGACAAATAAACCTACATGACTTTAGAAAACGTGTCAGTAAACCAAGGTCACACACACTAGAGCTAAGTGCAGGGGTGCATCACATCCACAGACTGGAAGACTCAACACTGTAACAGATTTCCATTCCTTCCAAACCCATGGAGAAACTCAGTGCAATTCTGATCAACATTTTATCAGCTTATTTAGTGTGAACATCACAAACAAATTCCAATACTGATATGGAAGTGAAAAGCGCCAAGAACAGAAAATACACTATTGAGAAAGCAATCCCAGTTTGGAGGGTTTCCTCTACCATACAACAAGAACTACTACAAAACTACAATAATTAAGACAGTGTGATACCGGTGCAAGTATAGATACATAGACCAATCGTACATAACAGCACACAAATAAACACAAGTATATGAACACTTAATTTATAACAAAGGTGGTTCTGCAGAAGAGTGAAAAAAGATTAACTTCTCAATAACACAAGGCCATCAGTTGGGGGGGTGGGGGTGGGGGGGAAATGCAGAAAAATCAGTTCCAGGTAGATTTTAAATCCTAATGAATAGAAAAGGTAAAAAAAAACTTCTGGAAGACAAACAGGACAAAAAAGTACAAATCAAAAAATAATAATTCTGCTCATCAAAAGATATCATTAAGAGAGTTAAAAGGCAAGCCAAAGAGTAGGAAGAGATAACTACAACATACAAAACTGACCAAGGCCTCAGGATCACAATGATAAACCAATATGGAGTAGACAATTTGATAGAAACAGAAAGAAGAATAGAGGTTGAATGGGGCTGGGATAAGAGGAAATAGAGGAGTTGTTGTATAAAGTGTCTGTAAGTTTCAGTTTTGCAAGATGAAAATGTGAATATACTTAATGCTACTGAACTGTATATTTAAAAATATTTAAGGTGGAAAATTTTATGATATTTTACCACAAATAAAATTTGAAAAACAAATAAGCCAATATGAAAATAAGTAGCAAGAGATTTGAACATTACCCAAGGAGATTTCTAGTTGGTCATTATCATTTCAGGGAAAAGGAAATTAAAACCACAGTGAGGTGTTACTACCAGAAGGCTAAAATTAGGTGACTAGCAAGTGTTGACAAGAATGGGAAGCAACTAGAACATCATAGGTACTGATGAACATGTGACATGATATGAACACTTAGGAGCACTGAAGGCACTTTCTACTGAAATCGATCATACCTATACACCCTTTGACCCAATTCTACTCATAGATCTATATATAACAAATCAATGACATGTATAAGAATAGACATCAGAGTATTATTCATAGTAGCCCCACACTGGAAATAACACAATATGTCCACCAACAGCAGAGTAAATCAGTAACTGTGACTATTGATTCCTATCATACAGGAATTCAAGAATACTGAAACATGTCCAATATCCAACAGGGATGAATCTCACAAACATAACATTAAGCAAAAGAAGTCACAAAAAGATACATAGTATATCTATGTATATACATAGTGTATACGATTCTATTTGAATTTTAAAAACTGGTAAAACCAATCTAAAACTAATTAGTGGTTATCTTTGGGCAAAAGTAAAGTACCAGTGATTAGGAGCATGGCTGGAGTGAAAACAGGTGATATGAGCTATATCTTCATCTATATGGTACCATTGCAAGTAGTTAATTAAGCTGTGCTCCTATAATTTGCACAATTTTTTGTATGCTTATTTTTATTCAAGAGATCATTAAAAGCCAGGAAAGTCTTATAAAAGGATAAGGTGCCCTAGCTGGTTTTGCTCAATGGTTAGAGTGTCGGCCTGAAGACTGAAGGGTCCCAGGTTCGATTCCAGCCAAGGGCACATGCCTGGATTGCCGGCTCGATCCCCAGTAGGGGGCGTGCAAGAGGCAGCCAATCAATGATTCTCTCTCATCATTGATGTTTCTATCTCGCTCTCCCTCTCCCTTCCTCTCTAAAATCAATAAAATATATATATATATTTTAAAAAGGATAAGGTGGTCAGGAATGACAGATAATGGAAAAAGAGTGAGAAGTTAAAAACTAAGAAAATCCCATTGAATCTGTTGGCTATAGTGTTTGCGACTTTTACGAGAAAGCACTTTAGTAAAAGGGTAAAATCCTTCAACAGTGGGGAACAAGAGGATTAGCAATGAAGTGCTAAGTTCATACTCTTCTGAGAAATGCAGTGATGCTAACTATGTTAGAATGAGGATGGTAACTCTACCAAGTAGGGCATAAATTAATGGCCAAACCATTAAAAAGCCCTTTTAAAGTGTACTAATGCCTTCAGATAAGCTAACAGCTAATCAGAATAAAAAAATTTTCATCTTCAAATTCAAAATAAGTCACTCTTATAGGTCTTGTTCATGAGATCTTCATTGAAGAAATATATACTCATTTACCTTCCTCCTCCCAGAAATAGAATTCCAAGGGCCATGTGATGGGCTAAGTGGAAACCATAGTTCATTTCACCACCTGTTTTCATGTGCAAGAAACGACAAAGCTGCAAAACCTTTAGGTTCCCCGAGCCAGCCATAACCATGGCCAGAGACAGCAGCACCACACTCAGGCATGTTTCCAGGTTGTAAGGACCTGTCTGGAAATATGAAAAGAAGACTGTTACATTTCTTTATTATCAACTTCCATGTTACTTTTCTTCATTATCAAAAACAAGTAATGAAAAACAAATGTTTATGACTTTTTAAAAAACTATAAAAACAAGTATTTTCTCTGATTGTGAAATTTAAGTTCAATATAGAACACTCAGGAAATAAAATATACAAAAGGTAATAACTATCACTTGGAAGTTAAGAGGAAGCACCCAAAGAGAACTGCTGTAAAGTCTGCCTTTCTTTTTCTCCAAATCTTTTCCTATATTTATAAACATATTTTTTTTTCAAATTGAGACATTACTATACACAATATTTTTAACCTATTATAAGCAATCTCACTCACAACAAAGTCTTCCAGAACACGGTTTTGATAGCTCCATTGTAAAACAATGTATAGATATATTCAAACTTAACCACTTTTAGACTTTGATGTCTCTAATTTTCTCATATTATAATGTTGCATAAATCTGTGTGGTTTTTAGCAAGAAATAAAGATCTTGCAGTGTTCCTGTCATAAAGCAGCAATGCCTCAAAAACAACTGCATGTTTACTAAATACTAATTTTTAAAGGCCATTATCAATATTCAGTACTGAGACAGAATGGGAGACAATATGGTTTTTCTTATTTATTCTCTTGTCACAAGAATTAGAGACCTGTGCATTCTTCTAGAATTATCATATTCTCATCTAAATATCCCAGAACAAAAATGCAAAGATAAACCAAACTTCAAATCTCCCATTCTAAATTCAAGCAAATTGCAGAAATTATCAACATATTAAGTAACTAAATTATTGGTGAATTTCCTTTAAGTTTAATTTTATTCCCAAGGAGACTCATCGTGAAAAAAACTTACCACAGAAGCATTAGGTGCAGACAAATAAGTCATAAAATCTTTTGCAAATTTATGCTGGAAAATCAAAAGAAAAAATTTAAAGTTAAGAGGAAGCATATTGAGGCTTTGAGAAAAAAGGAAACAGAACAGAATAAACTAGGATACTTCTTACCAAACAGTTAAATGCTGATAAGTTTTCTGAGCCAGCAAATCGAAAACCCAGGGACAAACAGGCTCCTGCAATTATGTAGACATGTGCCTGCCTAGAGACAGATTACAAGAAATTTACTATTGTCAATATTCTGCCTTAATATTAATTATTAGTATTATCTTGGGGTAAAAATAGTAATTATTTCTGTTTCTGTTCTGGGGATGCTCAATTGTGCCTCTACTAAATTAGCAGGCTCATATGCCCTTTTCTTCAGCAGAAACACCAGGTGGCCCTTACTAATAAAATATACTCTTGCCTGCATATGTTTCACATACAGCAAAAGAAGATAATTTTTAAAAACACTGCCATTTTTTTCATGGAAAGGATAAAAAAAGGAGTATGTACAAGTTAAATCTCCAATATTGTTTGAGGGCAAGAACACTGTATTTCAGAAACCTAAACAAAAGCAAACAAACAAAAAATTCATCTTTCTGAACATTTAATCAGCAATGGTTAGAAACAAAGGAACTCAGAATTACTCAAAAGTTAAGGGCATTACTGCTCTTACAGAGTGCATTTCTATTATTTATCTGACAGATGCTAGGATAGCTCATTTCTATTCCTCATTTCATAACTTACGACAAAGTTTCCAAATTCAAATCCTCTGAGCAAGGCAATTCAATTTCACTGAGAGAGATACTATTTTCTCTTATAATCTGTGAAAATACAAACCAAGAATACCTGAACATTAATATTCAAGTTATAAATATTTAATGACCTGAAAAATAACATATTGCTTATCATGGCCATGTTATATAAAACAAGCTTTGCCAAAACATTTCATTTTCGAAGGCCTATATTATAGTCACATCCATGCAACCCAATTTTAAATCTAAGATGGCCCAATAAAAACAATAACTGAATTGGACTGAATGAACACAAACTAGAGGACTTAAGTATATTCTGAATCAACAGCAGAGTAATAATACTTCAGACCAGTGAGCTGAAATGAAAGATGATGGCTGTAGAGGAGAATTGGGGCAGGAGTGCCGGGAAGCAGCAGGAAAGAGTTAAAGCACTTGGAGAGAACTCAATTCAGACACATACACTTCTTAGTCATGGGACGTTTCTAGCATTAAGGTGAGGTGAGGTGAGGTTAGTCACTACATTAATTACTTGAGTTAAAGTGAACTGTCAATGTGTTAATCTGCAACTACTATGTAGAAACATATCCCTTTCATTTTAGTATAGGTAGTGAACAAGAATTTTTTTAAAATAGAATATCTATCTAGCTTTAACACACAAAAAAAGACTTGATCTGCTTCACTTAAAAAATACAAATAAAAAAGAAAAAACTATATATTTTCTAAACATATGAAAGCAAGTATACAGAACAGAGGAACTCAAGATTTATTCTTATTCTTTTTCAAAGACTGCTCAGGAGAATAACATTACAGGATGCTTTCTACAAAAAAATACAATAAATACTCAGAAGTCACTTATGATACAAACTTCTTATGAACTAAAATATCACCAAACCAAAAAACTCCAAATACCTTTGCTCTCTGATAATCTCAATAAGGTAAGCAACTATGTTCACTGTGTAATATAAGCTAGTAACTACTTCCATCGCTCTTCCTCTCATCTTTACTTTTAATGTTGACTACTATTTATTCAGAAATTGAGTGACATTCTGAAAAACTGATAGAACTCCAAAGTGATACATATATGGATAACCTGATTACAACATTCATATAAATTACAGTGTTTTAACTACATCATTATACAGGAATGAAATGCTTCTATTTTGACAGTAGGCATTTGTAAGCTCTTTTTTTGTCTTCAAAAGCAGCTTGAGGGCCTAGGTTTGAATCCCACAAAGCCACATTAGCTGTGTGACCACAGGCAAGTTTCTTGACTGCTCTATGCTTCCCCTGTAAATGAGCATAATAGCGGTTCCTACCTTCTAGGTTTCTGTAAGAATTAGAAGGCTTAATCCACTCGAAAACCTCTTAAAATTAACGCCTGGCACTTAGTAAGTCCTTTATAAGTATTAGCTATTACTATTAGCATTATTAATATTATTATTATTATTACTATTATTATTATAACTGATCTGTACCACCTCTATCATAACACCACATTGATCATACACCATTTCAAAGCATCAATAAACCTGGGTTGTAAGTAACTGTATGGAAGGAGACCCTTCTTCAATTTGTCCTTGTCACCTTTTCTATGGTCTCCTAAAGTTTTTTTTTTAACCATATAAAAGAGTAATCAAAGGAAGAAATGTATTTCTTCAAGGACAAGTTGAGGCACACAGGAAATGAATAAGAAAAGACCACCAAACTCCTCTGTCCAAGGCAAAATCTTAAAGATCTGAAGTCCTACAGCTAGTTTCAGTATGACCCTTACTAGCCAAGTGAATCTGAATCAGTCTGTCCTCTTTCAATGTAATAGTAATGTACTGAACTCTAGCCAATGTGTACTAGCTGCTAAAAACAAAACGATGGAAAAGAACACTAGCTGACTTTGAGGAGTTCATAGTATAAGGATGCATAAACATTTGGTAAAGAGTTCATTGCTCCCACACACACAGAGGCAATACCAAAACAACGTTTAGTACGACACTGCATCAGACACACAGAATGGAGTCCTTTTGAAAAGAAAAAATTACAATAAGATAGACCTAACATAATACTTATCATTTTAACTATTTATTTAACTAATATGTGCATTTAAATGCCACAGGTTAAAAGGTTTATATACAAATATCAATTTCATATTTTATATCAGTTGTATAGCAGCAAGCAATTAGAAAACAAAATTCTACATAAAGACTCCACTTACTGTATAATAAAAGACTATAAAATACTTAGAAGTAAACTTATTAAACTGTTGAAGACCCTGATTTTTCTGAGAAAAAACTTAAAAAAGGACTAAAATAAATGGATTCTCTATTCTTGGACTACAAGACTCAACTATTTAGTTATCTATTCTCCATACATTTCTTTATAGTCGGGGTGGAGAACTTTTTTTCTGCCAAGGTCTATTTGAATATTTATATCATTTGAAGGCCACACAAAATTATCAACTTAATAATTAGCCTGCTCTATTTGGTCAAACATTTAATTAACTCATCCCAATGCCTTGGTAAGGGCAGACCAAATGATTTCGCAGGCCTTATACAGATCACAGGTCAGGTGTTCCCCACCCGAATAGATTCAACACCATTTCAATTATAATCCATCAGACTTTCATATCAATACTGATAAGCTGATTCTAAATTTTAGATGGAAATGCAAAGGACCTAGAGTATTCAAAGAAATCACAAAAAAACAAAAATGGCAGATACGCAATACTTGCTTTCAGGACTTACTATAAAGCTACAGTAATCAAGAGTTTGATACCAGCAAAAGGACTGTCAAATAGATTAAAAGAACAGATGCAGAGCACATAAATAAACCCACTTATGTGCTCACCTGACTTTGACAAGAAATCACAGGAATTCAATAGGGAAAATGGTGTTTGTATAACTCAATGCCCATCTATATATATAAAAGCCTAAGCGACCATTCGGCCGTTTGACCAGTAGCTATGACACGGGGATTGGCCGAATCCGTGCACTGGGCCTCTGACATCCCCCGAAGGGTCCCAGATTGCGAGAGGGCACAGGCCAGGCTAAGGCACCCCACCGGTGCACAAATCCGTACACCAGGCCTCTAGTAGTTTTATAAAACAAAAACCTAAATGCCTACCTTATGTCATAAACAAAATTATTCTGAGATGGATGCCAAACTATACACAAAAGCTAAAACATTGGAGTTTTTAGAGAAAAAACAAAACAAGAGACAATCTCCAGGATTTGGAGTTAGGCAAATGTTTTTTTCACAGGACACAAAACACAATACCCATAAAATAAAAAACTGATAAACTAGTCATTACCAAACTTTGAAAATCTGCTCAGCAAAAACATTACAGACAAACCACACACTGGGAGGAATATCTGCAAAGCATATATCTGAGAAAGAATAGGCTCCCAGGAAATATTAAAAATCCTAGCAACTCAATAGTAAAATAAATAAATAAATAACTTTTTTTTAAAAAATGGGAAAGAGATAGGAACAGACGCTTCACACAAAAGAATATATGAAGGAACAAATGAGAAGGTTCCCTTGTCATCAGTCAGGAGGGAAATACAAATGGAAACTACATGTTTACCAACATAACTAAAATTAAAAAGATTAACACCATCAAATATGGATGAGGTGTATAGCACCAGTACTTTCAAACACTGTTGGCCAAAGTGTAAAATGGTACAAAGTCTGGGAAAAGACCCACCAGTTCTTATAAAACCAAATACATTATCTACTCTATGCCTCTGTAATTCCAATCTTAAATGTTTATTCAAAAGAAATTAAACATAAATGCACAAAAATATTCATATAAGATTATTTATGGTAGCTTAATTCATAATGGCTAAACCTGGAACCAGCCCAGATGTCCAACAAAAGAGAATGGAAAAAGAAACTGTGTTAAGTTAATAACAATGGAATACTACTTACAATAAATAGAATGAACCATTACTATCACACAATCATGCTGAGTGAAGGAAACATTATACAAAGGGTTTATACTACATGTGAATCCATCAATATAAAGTTCTACATCAGGCAAACTAATTTATTTTGGGAAAACATCAGAGAACTGGTTGCATTGGGGGAGGGAGGGGGTGAACAGACCGAGTGGGTAGGGGAAGGAAGGAACTTCTGGTCATTTTGAAGGTTTGTTTCCATGAGCATAGACATTAGTCAAATCTTATCAAATACTATAGTTAAGATCTGTGCATTTCATTGCACATAAATTTTATCTTAAAAGGGAAATATAAAATTCTAGTTATTAACACACATGCTAAAACATTTAGGGAGAAATTCAGTAAGGTCTGTAACTAACTGAAATATATTTTAAAAATGATGGATTGGATAGAAAAAAAATGGAGATATGTGGTTAAACGAGTTTTCACAGTAAAATATTAATTGTAGAATCTAATTGGTGATATAGGTGTTTCTGTGAAGTTCTTTAAACCTTTCTTTATTTTGAACTTTTTCTTACTCAAATATTAGGGGAAATACTCTCAAGCATTCCCAAGGATAAATAGATTTATTTTATAAGTAAAATTGAACTGACCACCAGAAATGGACTGTTGGTTAAAAGGGTAATATTTATTGATAATATTTGATTTGGAGTTATTATGGAGCCTGCTTATTTATAATGATTTGGCTTATTGAATAAATATGTCATAAAGTAATTAAAATAACTTATTAATAAGAGATTTAAATTGTCACAAAGTATATAATAGCATCTTAGATAAATGTGTACCAATTCAGATAAAAATGACAAAAATACTTTAAGGTACTCTGGTATATTTAATTTTTAAAAACTACAATTTCTTGGGATCTTGGGTCAGAAAGGAAGGTTAATCTATAATAAGCACACAATCTTAAAATGAAAGTTGCTATGTTTTCAAGAGATACCATAATCATCAGTATTGCCTTCCTAAGAAGAATTATTTTATGGGGTTTTGGAAAGTCCGTAAGAAATCATAATTTTATGCCATTAACGGTAAAACAATATTTATCATATGTACTTACCTGAGGAACATTGCTATCAACCCACTTGGAATTTGGTAAAATATCATCCCACAAAATCAGGCATCGAGCAAGTGTCTTTAAAATGTAATACAGATAAAATTAATTAGAGCAAGAGAAGTTCACAGATTTTATAACAATGACAATGTTAAAGAGAATAATTTAGAATCAGTTCCCAAATGACGGTAATTTCAAAAAATAAAATTGGTATATAGTATCAACCTAAGACAATCATGAAAATAAACTGATGATTTAGATTTTAACCCAAAAATCTAAAATTGAGTTGACTGTCATCAAAATCTGGAGAAGCTAAAAGGACGTTTTAAAAGAAAAGAACCATAGCCCTATCGACGTAATTTCAAGGCTTTTATAGGCTAAAAACAGACAAGTTTAAACATTATAGAAGGAATAATTCAGGTAGTTATGTTATACAGTTATTGTCATTATTTATATGCTTAATAGTAATATTGCATCCTTACTAATGAAGCAGTAGTAAAGCTCCAGTCACTTGCTATTTAACAGGAAGTTTTGAATAATATGTGAGCCCTGACCAGTTTTGTTCAATGGTTAGTGTCGGCCCTTGGACCGAAGGGTCATGGGCTCGATTTCTGGTGAAGGGCACATACCTTGGTTGCAGGTTTAATCCACGTCTACCAGCAGCAGCTAGAGGCAACCAATAGATGTGTCTCCCTCCCTCTCTCCATCCCTCCCTCCTTCTTTTCTTTCCTCCCTCTCTCCCTTCCTCTTTTACTCCTTCTCTCTCTCTCTCTCTCTCTCTCTCTCTCTCTCTCTCTCTCTCTCAAAAAAAAAAAAAAATCACTGGAAAAAATATCCTCTGGTGATTAAAAAATAACAATAATAATGTGAGCTGAAATGTCAACTCCAAATATTACATGTCAAAGTGGCTGCCTTTTCAGCATTCCTACGGCTAAATGTGGGAAACTTCAAAAGAACATTGTCAATTACATGTGCATATTGAATTAATAGTAAAAGGTTCCCTTGGAGTAACATGTACATTTGCAAGATAAACCTGCCCACCACATACAGACTCCTCATGTTAACAGAAATGAGAAAGTGCCAAGGACCATACCCGAAGCAAGAGGAACTCTGGTTTCACAAAGTCCAGCAAATACATAGTGTCGGGAGCTCGAAGCCAGTCGGCAATGGACCTGTTAGTGGAAGATGTTAACAGTGAAATTGCTCAGAAGAGGCAAGATAATCAACAAGTGCGAGACAGATTTCACAGCATTTCTTCCCACTCCACCCACTGTCCTAGTTTCTTTGCATACACAGTACTTTCACAACCACTAGAATAACATTTATTATGTATGTGTCTTACAATAACATAGCTCCACGAGGGCAGATATGTTTAGTTCTGTCTTGTTCCAGTACCAAGAAAGCATTGACATACACATTCATCCAAGTAGTAGATGAACAAATGCCTGTTCTGACCCATTTTGTTAATTTTGCATACATTTACTTTTTCTAAGAGGAAGAATTTACAACATTAAAGAATGTCTTGCCCTAGCCAGTTTGCTCAGTGGATAGAGCATCGGTTTGCAGACTGAAGGGTCCCAAGTTAGATTCCGGTCAAGGGCACTTGTTCTGGGGTTGCAGGCTCGATCCAGTGTGGGGCATGCAGAAGGCAACTAACTGGTCAATGATTCTCTCTCATCATTGATGTTTCTATCTCTCTCCCTCTCCCTTCCTCTCTGAAATCAATAAAAATATATTTTAAAAAAATTCTTGCTCTGGCCAGTGTGGTACAATGGTCAGAGCGTCTGCCCACAAACCATAGGGTCAAGGGTTCAATTCCCGGTTAACAGCATGTACCTGGGTTGCAGGTTTAATTCCCAACCCTGGTCGGGTGGGTGCAGGAGGCAACCAATAGATATGTCTCTCTCATATTGATTTGGAGTTTTTACAGAATCTCTCTCTCTTTCTCCTCCTCCCTCCCTCCCTTCCACTCTCTCTAAAACAAACAAAATAAATGGAAAAAATATCCCCAGGTATGGATTAACACACACACACACACGCACACACGCACACTATTAGTGTATTTTTTAAATTAAAAGAGTTAAACATGGTATAATATCTCCTATCCAACTTACATTCCTATGCAAAATGTAAAAGGATAAATGCCAAAGGTCTATTTTCAAGTGTCAGCACTATTCGTGGGGGTTGGGAAGATAGATGGTGTAGTCACAAGAAAAGCTTGAAGTAAGCAGAAACCATTTTTATAAATAGGAACAAAGAATAGAATAATGATAAGTATTTCTGGCTTAACCAGTCCTCACAACATTCAAAATTAATGAAAAGCAATTTGGGCATTTTTTTTTTTAATAGTCAGTGACAGCAACCAGAAAACAGAATTGAATGAAGATTGGCAATTAATTATACTGTCAAAAATCATTAAAATAGCAAATTTTATTATTTCTAGATAAAAATCTATGTAATCTGTTGTGGACAAAAGGGGCCACATGCTGACCTGACAAGCTCAGGGGAGGCCTTCATGGCAGTCTTGCAAACTCAGAGACCTAAAGTAACCACAAAGGATGGTCTGAAATTAAACTTTAACTAAAGCACTTATGGTGGGCAGTTATGTCCTAGGCCAGTGATGGCGAACCTATGACACACATGTCAGAGGTGACACGCGAACTCATTGTTTTGGTTGATTTTTCTGTTAAGTGGCATTTAAATATGTAAAATAAATATCAAAAATAGAAATCTTTGTTTTACTATGGTTGCAAATATCAAAAAATTTCTATATGTGACACGGCACCAGAGTTAAGTTAGGGTTTTTCAAAATGCTGACATGCCGAGCTCAAAAGGTTCACCAGTATCTCCACTGACAAGGTCAACCTTTACCTTAACTGAGCCTATCTGTCTTTTTACATCTACTATAACATACCCTTAAAATGTCTGGGTAACTTGTAACTTCCCTTTTTCAGGAGCCCCTGGGGCACAACCAAATGTGCTGAGTGCCAGGACAGATACTACAAATTCCTTCATTATCATGTTAATTGATCCTGCATCCACCTAAGTATATGTCCATCATTTACTTTTATCCAATCCCAGGGGTTTCCCCTGCTTTGCTTTATCCCTCCTCCTTAATCTATCACCAATGAATTTCATGTAACCCACCTACGTCCCTCCTTGATTGCAAATGTATAAATACAGATGTAACCCCTCCATTCTCCGGAGCATGATCTCAATTCGTTGAGGTTCTACTTCCTGGCATATGTTGACAGTTTGGTTCAAATAAACTCACAAAAATTCTTTACAAGTTTCAATGGTTTTTTTACCTTAACACTGTACTATTTGCGAGAATTAAAATCAGGTTAATCTAGGACAGTGATGGCGAACCTTTTGAGCTCAGTATGTCAGCATTTTGAAAAACCCTAACTAAACTCTGGTGCCGTGTCACATATAGAAATTTTTTGATATTTGCAACCATAGTAAAACAAACATTTATATTTTTGATGTTTGTTTTATATATTTAAATGCCATTTAACAAAGAAAAGTCAACCAAAAAAATGAGTTCACGTGTCACCTCTGACACGCGTGTCATAGGTTCACCATCACTGATCTAGGAGATAGGAAATGAACACATTAAGATACTTTAGTTTTACTACTGAGGTCAGAAAGGAAGTCACACTGTCTGGCCAGGGATGGGGTCAGAGATGCATTACCTGTTATTGGTTTTTAAGTAGATCATAGCCAAAGCAAGAGTGGCACCGGGACAAGTTACATCCACATTTATGGTATCTCCTTCCTATCAAAAGAAAAGATTATTCACATAAGAGTTATGAATTATTATAAAAATCTTCTGAATACTAACCTATGCTTAAAATTAACATATTGGTAAAGGTTGGTATAAAAACTATTTTCAAATTATTGCTCTAGCCCTAGCCGGTTTGGCTCGGTGGATAGAGCATCTGCCTGTGGACTGAAGGGTCCTGGGTTCGATTCCAGTCAAGGGTACATGCCCAGGTTATGGGCTCGATCCCCAGTGGAGGGCATGCAGGAGGCAGCCAATCAATGATTCTCTCTCATCATTGATGTTTCTATATTTCTCTCCCTCTTCTTTCCTCTCTGAAATCAATAAAAACATATTTTTAAAAATTATTGCTCTAATTTGGACTTACTTTGATTTGATAACTTGGAGATTTATGTTTCTCCCTGTGCATTCCTGCTTGAAAGCGCCTATGACCTCCAACCATGTACTGATAAAGCTGCTCAGGCACATTGAGGTCAGACATACCTATCAAGTTACTGCCGTGCTGGAAAATTAAATAACAGACATGTGAAAGGAAATCTTAGGAAATAAGGCCTACAGTACATGAAAAAGAAAAGAATGAACTTCAAAACAGGTGTTGAGTTGATAATTCACATTAAAATTACAGTATATGTTCAAGTTAATATTTTCATGTCACAAAATACATAAAGGCTTCAAAATACAGTTAATTGCACTAACAAAGATGGACTTACTTAGTACGACAATTCTATCAAACAGCTACTCTTTCATAGGTGAGGAAAGTGAAGCACAAAGAGTGAAGTCCAAGGTGACACAGCTGGCAAGTGGCAGGGCTGGATATGACTCAAGGCAGTTTTGCTCCACAATCTATGGAGTTGCATAACCACTAGACAATGCTGTAGTTAAATGATAGGACTACCTGGTCAGGACCAGAATTCAGGTGTCAATTCCCATTATGAAGCTTTTCCACTGAATCATCTGCCTCTTCAGTTCAAATGTAAATGTGAAGATTCAAACACCTAACAGTTAACTTGTTTTGTATAACCTAGTTTCAGTATATAGGTGGTTCTTCAAGGGACCCACATTCCAGCTGACACAGTCAGCCGGATGAAATGAAATGCTTTTGCTAGTTCTATACCATTTCTTATGGATGGGGTTAAAAATGGGTCAACATGGTATTGCATTCTATCACAAAGCAAACACTACATTGGCAACATTCTGCCAGACCTCATGAACACCAGGGAGCCAAGAAAAGGCTATGGTTTCTCTCCAGTAACTACTACAGACTCTTAAAGTTCCCCATCATATACACATTTTTCACTATATTCTGTTTTCTGACTGATTAGGCTGCCACTCTTCTTCATCTTATGTCTTAAAATCTTTACAAGAAACCTCATTCCTTAGTTCATTCATAAATACTTCCATCTAAGACAGGGAAAAGAAATATTAAAGCCCCACTCTGCTACAATTTCTCTCCATTTCCAAATCTAACACTTTGAAAAACATCCAGAGAGAAGAAAAAGTTAAGATTCAGTTTAAATCAAGTCACAGTATGCAGAGCAGTATTCAGTATTCATATTCACGTCAACACGCAGACCTCTTCCCTGAAGCCTTGGAAGACAGAGACTGTGCTTACCCCCAAGCAGACCATGCCTAGGGCCAAGCCAGCAGCTAAAGAGTAGGACTCTCTGTCGGTGCAGTATTCCATCTCAGGACCAGGGGGCCTTCCTGTGAAAGAGGAAATAACGAGGTTCAAGGTGGCCTCTTAAAATCTTAATTCATAGGAGCTTTAGAGTTAACTTTCTAGTAACTAAGTTGTGTAAGAGCTATAGATTCAATATACCCTCACTCAGAAAGATATGACATTATCACAAATGGTGCCACATCTCTGTTTACTACAAAAACACTCCAAAATGATTCTTGTAATTTTCTAATTTAAAAACAATGCCTTTATTTTATTTAGATTTAGATATGTTTTTAATACTTATAGTTCAAAGTATTACATATCTCCTTTTTCCCCCATTAACCTCTTCTAGCCTGCCAATGCCCCCCACCCTTACCCCAGGCTTTTACACTCTAATGTCTGTGTCCATGGGTTATACATATATGCATACAAGTTCTTTGGTTGATCTCTTCCCACCCATCCACCCTCTCCCACATTCCCTCTGAGAGCAATAACTTTAAAACACTGCAAAAAATTAGATTTGATTTTTTTTAATTACTAAGAAATAGGAAAAAAATTTTATAATACAACTTTTTAATGTATATATTATTGATTTTTTTACAGAGAGGAAGGGAGAGGGATAGAGAGTTAGAAACATCGATGAGAGAGAAACACTGATCAGCTGCCTCCTGCACCCCCGCCCCCCCACTAGGGATGTGTCTCCAACTAAGGTACATGCCCTTGACTGGAATCGAACCTGGAACCCTTCAATCCGCAGGCCGATGCTCTATTCACTGAGCCAAACCAGTTAGGGCGGGGGGGAAAAAATTTTAAAGGGAGGAGTGATCAACAAGAGTTTTAATTTTTAATCTCTTACATTTGTTTTTGCTTTATTATTTTCAAATCCATTTATTAGATGTGGTGAAAACATGTTGAAATACAGGACGAATACTTCCCACAAGTTTTAAGCACATGAAATATTTTGCTTCCAGACACCTGTTTTGAACCTACATAATAATAATACTGAGCTGCTCTACTATGGTAGAATTTCTGTGTATTGATTCTAAATGCTTGGCTTGATGCAAAGTTTATACTTATAAAAAGCACCACATAACACTAACTCTACCCTTTAAAGCAGCAAAATGTAATATATATAAAGACCTCTCCCTCCAAAAAAAAAGTTCACATTCCTGAGATTTTATCTTCAGGGGAAAAATACAATTAAAAAATAATAAATACTACACAAAAGTAATCAGCATAATGTTTATGCATAACAGCAAAGAATTAGAAACTATTTAAAAGACCTGAAAATAAAAAATAATTGGGCAATTTTATTAGTAAGCTATCCTCACATCAGCTACTATTTTTCCTTAATTTTAATAATTTCACTATCTTTCTTACTTTGTTTCCTGTGGAATGCAAAATGTATGCTAATGAAGACACAGCACTATTGATGCCATACCTATTTCAGCCAGCAGGACTTCTGCAGTATGCCTATGAGCTGTCCCTTGATATACAAGGCCGATGCCGACCACCGCAGCCACCTGGACATTGTGAGGAACGTCAAGCTCTGTGGACGTCGGGGGTAAGAGAGCAGGAATGTGGATGCTAAGCAGCCGGGTAATGGACATATCCATAGTGCCCAGCTTAGCAGCAGAAACACCAAGTAATAGTCCAATGCTTGTCATTTCATGACCCTAAGATAGAGAGGAGAAACTTAAGCCACTACCAAAACAGATACCAAGTTTTAAATAAAACAGTATTTTCAACAAGTACTTTTATGTGACAGGCACAGTGAAAGGCACCAAGAACACAATAGCAAACTACACAGACATGGTGCCTGCCCTCATGAAGCTAGTGCCCTCATGGGAAAAAAGTGTTAAACTAAAAACATACAACTATACTATTAAGAAGTAATGCATTGAGCCCTAGCTGGTTTGACTCAGTGGATAGAGTGTCGGCATGCAGACTGAAGGGTCCCAGGTTCAATTCCAGTCAAGGGCACATGCCTGGGCTGCTGACTAGATCCCCAGTAGGGGACATGCAGGAGGCAGCCAATCAATGATTCACTCAAATCATTGATGTTTCTCTCTCTCTCTCTTTCTCTCTCTCCCTCTCCCTTCCTCTCTGAAATCAATAGATATATTTTAAAAAAGAAAAAGTAATACATTGAAAAAGTACAAAGTAATATGAAAGAGTATTATTAAGGTGCCTAATTTAGATTAGGAAGGGCTGAAGAATTATTAGGAATCTTTAAAAAAGTAATATTCACAAAAGAACCTGAAGGACGAGTATAAATTAGCCAGGAAAGTGGCAGAAAGGGAGGCCCTCAACTTTAGAAAGGGAGAATGTCAGGTGAGAGAACAACATGTAAATGACTTTGAGGTGATCCAGAAATAAACCCTCACATGGATGATTGACTAACAAGGGTGCTGAGACAATCCAATGGGAAAAGAAGTCTTTTCAAAACACAGTGCTGTGGTAAGTGGAGAGCCACATGCCAAAGAATGAAGTTGGACCCCTTCTTTATATTACGTACAAATATTACTGTAAATTGACCACATAACTCAATGTAGAGGCTAAAACTATAAAACTAATTTACATAAATAAAAAAATAAAACTATAAAACATGTGCCCTAAACATAGGTGTAAGTCTTCGTGACTTTGGATTAGGCAATGACTTGGATACAACACAAAGTATAGCAACCAAAGAAAGAAGAAGTGAACTGAACTTTGTCAAAACAAAAACTTGTGTGTTTCAAACATGCCATCAGAAAGTGAAAAACAACTGAAAGAATGGGAGGAAAATGTACAAATCTTTTATCTGTTAATGGACTACTATCCAGAATATACAAAGATTTACAACTCAATACGATAACCCAGTTAAAATAATAAGTATATGAATAGACATTTCTCCAAAGAAAACTTATAAATAGCCTATGAACACAGGAAAAGATACTCAAGATCATTAGCCATTAGGGAAATGCAAACCAAAACCACAATGAGATATTGTGGAGAAATTGGAACTCCTAGGTACTGCTGGTGCAACTAAAAAATGGTGCACCCACTCTGAAAAACAGTTTGGTGAACCCCAAAAATTTAAACAAAGAGTTACCATATGATGCAGCAATTCCACTTCTAGCAACATGCCCATGAGAAATGAAAATATAAGTCTACATAAAGACATGTACATGCTTATACGAGAATTATTCATAATAGCCAAAAAGTAGAAATAACCCAAATATCTATCAACTGATGAAAGGATAAATAAAATGCAGTATATCCATACAACAGAGCTTCTATTCAGCAATACAAAGAAATTAAGTGCTGATACAAGAAATAACATGGTCGAACCTTAAAAACATTCTGCTAAGGGAAAGCAGCCAGTCATAAAAGGCCACATATTGTATGATTCCATGTATATGAAAGGTCCAGAATGAGCAAATCCACATCCACAGAAAGCACATCAGTGGTTGTTAGGGACTGAAGGGAGAGAGGAACAGAGGGTATGAGGTTCCGTTACAAGGTTGTAAAATGTTCTAAAATCTGTGAATATCCTAAAAACTACTAAATTGTATACTTAAAATAGGTGAATTTTGCCCAGCCGATGTGGCTTAGTGGTTGAGCATCGACCCATGAACCAGGAGGTCACGGTCTGATTCCTGGTGAGGGCACATGCCCCGGTTGCAGGCTCGATCACTAGTAGAGGGGGTGCAGGAGGCAGCCGATCGATGATTCTCTCTCATCATGGATGTTTCTCTCTGTCCCTCTCCCTTCCTCTCTTTGAAATCAATAAAAATATATTTTAAAAAATAGATGATTTTTTATAGCATAAAAGTAGAAGAGTCTATGCCAAGAGGAAGAGTTTATGCCAAGGAGTAAAAATAACCAGTCCCCACGGATGGAAGGTGGTAGCAAGGGGAAAGAGTGGTACAAAGTAAGCTGGAGAAGTGAGTAGGATCACGAGGCTCTTAAATGTACCTTGAGAGCAATGGAAGACCATTACACAGTTTTGACCAGAGAAGTGATATATTCCAGTTTATACTTTAGAAAGATTACCCTGTCTGCTATAAGAAGAATGGATTTACAAATAAAAGAATAAAGAAGGAAGAGCAAATAGAACAATTAGAAGATACTGCAACAGCCCAGGTGAGGCACTATCCCAAGAGCTGGGAGCACCACCTTTCTCACCTTCGTCAGATAGTCGTGGATATTGAGAGTGGCCAGCTTGGTGAGGTGCCCATTCAGTCCCAGGGCCATGAGGAAGCCAGCATACTCATTGGCTAACTCAGCATGCTTGGGCTTATTGTAAACAATCCACGCGGAGTCGATCTGGGAGGCCGGGGCTATCTTCAGTCCAGCAGCCACACCATTATGAAAACTGGCCCAGCTTGTCATGTTGGGAGGCACATCAATGTTCCCACTGTTAAGGTCTACTGTTGTGTTCCGAGGAGGGGCACGCCCTATTCAGGCAAACAAATTTAAAACTGAGAGAATAGAAATATACAAAACCAAAGTGGTTAAATTTAGATTTTTGAGAACAGAGACTGTTTTTTCTACATTTGAAATCCTTAATATTAGCTTACTATGAGTTCTGAAAGTTTTATACATGTGAGTCAAACTCGATGCAAGGTGGAAAAGCCTTAATTGCTTAAAATAATTCATGGTCTTTTTTGCTAAAATACATGGGGCTATAAGATAACTGATACAAATTTAACTTATACATATCTGATTAGGATACCCAGTGCTTAAAAATCTTTCTTTCAAACAGCAGGAAGCTTATTAAAAAATAAAACAAAGACTAGTTAGTGTCACAGTTAAATTATATGAACAATAAATTCCAACATGTGGTTAGTGACACTGATGTTAAATATGCCACACCCTATTTTTCTCAGGACAGTAAGTGAAAATGACATTTTAAAAAGAGACTAGGACCTTTATAAATTTGTTCTGCCTCTTATCTATGTCTGTCTATACATATAATATAGATATCTAATTATATGCTATTGTTCACAGCACCAAATTCATTCATAGATAGCGCTGTAAAAAGCATCATTTTACAGACTTGAGTTACCCGTGAACCATAAGAATATGCACTAAATTTAATTTAAGAGCAACATAAAATTAAATGGTTGTGATGTTCTTTGAATTCCGAGTCTGGTTTTGATCTAGCCCATTAATAGGCAAATATTAAATTATTTTTATATTTTTAACTCAAGTCATGACTATAAAATAAATATCCTCATATTGCATAGAGTAATACAGTTCACTGGGTGTTTGAAAATGCTATTTTAAAGAAGTTCTGAAAGTTATGTAAAATCAATTTTAAATAGATGCATAATATCTTACTTAGAGTTTATGTATACATACACTGAGTGGCCAGATTATTATGACCGGCCAGATTATTATGACCACCCCATCAGTACTTCATTGACACTTCCAGAAATACTGAGTATTGAAAACTTCTTAAACAAATACTCTCAAGAAGTTTTCAATACTCAGTATTTCTGGAAGTGTCAATGAAGTACTGATGGGGTGGTCATAATAATCTGGCCGGTCATAATAATCTGGCCACTCAGTGTATATACATACAGTATACTCACACAGAGACACAAGCACAAAGTAAAATACATGATTGTACCATTTGCTTTTTGTACCTACGAACTAATTCAAATGTTGTTGTATGACAGCACTACATTGGTAACAAGTTCATGAGTTATACTTTTTCTTAAAAAAAAAGGCATAGAGATTAATCATGAAAAACAAGTAAACTTACCAAAATAGCAATGCATCATATACATAACACATAATATTTGCACACAATATAAAAGGCAAAGGGTAAAGCCATAAGAATTCAATATATTATTCAATAACCAGAACAATATACATAAGTACAACAGGCCTATAAGTGTGAGAGTTAAGGGACTATTTAAAAAATACATTTTTTCCTAAATTAACTTATTATTAAATCAAGATTTTTTTCTTAGGGGTGTCTACCAGAATGGCTAAAAGAATAAAATTTTGGATTAATGTAATAAACACATTTTAAATCATGAAAATTTAACTAAGTGTATTTTATTTTCAAAAGAAGAAGACAATGATTCATATACTTATTTAACACTCACTCAAGTATTGCCACCCAGATTTAATACACTATAACATTTGCCAATTTTGCATGAAATTCTTTTCTAATCCAAGCTTTTTCTATGAAAAGCTCCAAACAGTTGAAAGACTAATAAAATGAACACCTATATACCATGCCCTCCATCAAGACTCAACAGTTGTTCAGATTTTGACATAGTTGCTTATCTCTAAGAGAGAGAACATTAAAATAGTGAACATCACTCAGCTTGCTTTGCCTATCAATGAGTTGGACGATGGGCTCTTTACTCAGCTGGTCTCATTTTCCGCAACCACTGAAAACACAGTTCCTTACAAATCTGAGGGGACCCTGTATTTTTAAATTACTTAACTTGAAATATACATTTTATACAAGTCTCATAAAAACACATGCACTACGCTTTAAAAGATTTTCAAGGATAATTTTGACTATACATGATTGTCACCTATAGAACACATTCAAACTAGTATCAGGTGAATGGGCACTATAAAACCCATTATAACGAATAACATTAGGAAAAGAACACTCTCATATCTGGCAGAAGTAAAAGCTCATGCATCCAATCATGTGCCAATCTGCTGCATCAGAGCCTTAAAATCTTGTCTTAGGAGTTCTTCTAAGCAATTTCTAAATAAGTAAGATGAGTACAGCCCAATATACACTTATAATAGCAAAAAATGATGATTTCCAATACCAGGCTATTTATATAAATTATATCCCACTAAATGAAATACTCTAGAAAAATAAAAATGAAGTTGTCGATTAAACATGTGTATACAGCCTGGCCAGCGTGGCTCAGTGGTTGAGCATCAACTTATGAACCGAGAGATCACGCACGGTTCGATTCCCAGTCAGGACAGAGGCCCAGGTTGTGGGCTCAATACCCAGTAGGGGGTGTGCAGGAGGCAGCCTATTAATGATTCTCTCTCATCATTGATGTTTTTAACTCACTCCCTCTCCATTCCTCTTTGAAATCAATAATGTATATATATATACACATATATATACATATATATGTAGATATCTATATTAAAAAATGTGTATACAATATCTACATACATACATATATGCAATTGTATCCATAGATATACAGATATGGAAGGATGCTCATTACATAGTAAATTTTAAGATACCGTAATTTCTAAAACAGATTTAATATTTTCTGATAATTAAGCAAATATAAAATTATAAAGTGGAAAAATAAAATTCAGAAACATATATAGCAAAACGCTAACACTAGTGGATCTTTAGCAAGTGAAACTACTGTAAGTAAGTATATTTTCTGTTTTGTAAAAGGATCATCTATATATATAAAAGCCTAAGCGAATGAGCAACCAACCGACCCATCATTATGATGCGTACTGACCACCAGGGGGCAGATGCTCAATGCAGAAGCTGCCCCCTGGTGGTCAGCGTGCTCCCACAGTGGGAGAGCAGCTCAGCTGACCTTCTGGTGCCAGGCGCCAGGCTCATGGCTAGTGAGCGCAGCTGCAATGAGGCGAGGCTCTCCCACCTTCACAGCAATGCTAACGAGCAGCAACAGGGGGCAGGCGCAGCGGGGCCTAGATGAGCCAGCGTGGCACCTGACCTGGGCTCAGGCTCCTCTCCAGCCACCCACCGCCTCAGGTACTACTACATCCTTAGGGGGATGTCCGACTGCCAGTTTCGGCCCGATCCCCACAGGGCCTGGCCTGCAGGGATCAGGCCGAAACCAGCAGTCGGACATCCCCCGAGGGGTCCCGGATTGCAAGAGGGCACAGGTCAGGCTGAGGGACCCCATCGGTGCATGAATCCATGCACTGGGCCTCTAGTATGTTCATAAAAGACATAAGACATTTTAAGACTAAATACTTCTACATATTATACTTTAAGATTGTTTAATGTTTAATAATATTACCATTATCCATAATATATTTCTAAACTTTTCCAATTACCTTTCTGTATCTTGAAATGGTCTCATTAAAAAAAGCAAAAATTAGTAATGGGCTACGTTCTATTTCCCTCAATGTTTAGTCTGATTTGCTATTTGAGCAGCAATAACCACTAGAACAGCTATTAACAATATGTAAGACCACTAAAGATAAAAAGAGCATTTCATTTCCTTTCTCATTGAGCCCAGAATTTAACATACCTGTCAAATTCAACTTAGGAATAGGCAATGGTTCCGTTGGAACAGGATGGTATGAAAACAAGGTAAACATCCCTCGTCCTACTGGAAGGGCCATAGTTCGCTGGCACAACTGGAGCAATCTATAAAAATTAAAACCAACATGTGAAAAAATGTTAAGCAAATATATTGGAATGCAATCTGGGACAAGTATTTCAAAAGAAGGCATGCTGTATAAAATGAAGTCACATCCAGGAAATCCACAAAGATGTGGCTGAATCATCCCAACATGGTCATTCTCACTTTAATATTCTTGCCTCCTCTAGAAAGTCTAAGGCAGTGCTTCTCAACCTTCTGGCCCTTTAAATACAGTTCCTCATGTTGTGACCCAACCATAAAATTATTTTTGTTGCTACTTCATAACTGTAATATTGCTACTGTTATGAATCGTAATGTAAATATCTAATATGCAGGATGGTCTTAGGCAAGCCCTGTGAAAGGGTCGTTCGACCGCCAAAGGGGTCGTGACCCCACAGGTTGAGAACCACTGGTCTAAGGGGAGGCCCAATTCCTTTTTTTGTTTCACATTTGCTTTGAATGAAAACCATCTGGTGCAGACCAGCCAAAATGACTCAGTTGGTTGAGCATCGTCCTGTGCACCAAAAGGTTGTCTGTCTGTCTAAGCATGTGCTCGGGTGACGATTAAAAAACAACTACAACAACACACAACAGCTAGTCTAAAAACCAAGCCAACTCTCCCAGGTAACCAAAAGGAGAAACCTAAAGTTCTACTCTGTTGTTAACACTCTCATAGGAAAATATTATACTCTTGGTTCACTGTGTTATTTTCAGTCTAGCTGCCCTCAATACATCTGGGTTCCTACTCCCATCCTTTGAGCAGAGAGACTCCATGGCCTATACTCAAGGAAGGAAAGGAAGATCCTACAGTGAAGGTCAACAGATTTCATGGCATCTCTAGGAAAAACACAGAATCAGTTTCCCTTATATGACAGCTAGAATTTATCAGAGATGTTCAAGGTTCAAATGGCTTCTATGAGCTACTTGTTTTTATTTTTATTTTTTTAAATATATTTTATTGAAGGGAGAGGGATAGAGAGTTAGAAACATCGATGAGAGAGAAACATCGATCAGCTGCCTCCTGCACACCTCCTACTGGGGATGTGCCCACAACCAAGGTACATGCCCCCGACCGGAATTGAACCTGGGACCCCTCAGTCCACAGGCGGATGTTCCATCCACTGAGCCAAACTGGCTAGGGTTACTTGTTTTTATATTAAAGTAAATCACATTCTGTAGAACACCTTAAAACAAAACAAAATCAAACAATTTGTGAAAGCAGGGGCGTTATAACCAGGAAACACTTAACACAAGTGAAATATCTCTCCAGAGGCTAACATTTTCTCTGCAGACGACGCTATTCACAAGCATGATCTCTCCCTAATTGTACACACTCATAGTTGTTTTTCTAGTTCACTGGTGAGGAAAATTTTGCTGTCCTAAGATTCTTTGGGAACACTAACTACATTAATCTAGAATCATGGAAACTCAAGGCCAGAAGGCAACATCCCATAACATTTCCTTAGCAGATATCTTACATATAATCCACAACATTATCATAATGGAAATAATTAATACTGTATCCCTACCCTTTATGATGTCACTGATTACAAGATACATCACTATTTCCTGAGGTACTAGGAAAGAAAAAGCATCGCCATTTAAACTATAACACCTATTGACTGAAAGATAATCTCATTTCAGAGACAGTAAAAGGTTAAATAGAAAATAACCTCACAAAATGAACTCTGTTCATGATGGACTGCATGGAGCTTTACTACACACTGGGCAGTGTTACCAGCATTATGTAGAAACTAGAAGCCCGGTGCATGACATTCATGCACTAAGGGAGGGAGGTCCCTTAGCCTGGTCTGTGCCCTCTCAGGGAGCGGGCCTAAGCTGGCAGGTGGACATCCTCCGAGGGGTCCTTAGCACTGCCGCAGAGGCAGCAGAGGCTCCTGCCACTGCCGCTGTGCTCACCAGCCAGAAGCCAGGCTCACTGCTCCTTAGCGCTGTCTCCGAGGCGGGAGAGGCTCCCGCCATCACTGTGCTCACCAGCCATGAGCCCGGCTTCTGGCTGAGCGGCGCTCCCATCGAGAGAGCACACTGAACACCAGGGGCAGCTCCTGCATTAAGTATCTGCCCCCTGGTGGTCAGTGTGCATCATAGCGACCAGTGGTTCCGCCATTCGGTCGATTTGCATATTAAGCTTTTATTATATAAGACTAGTGGCCAGGTGCATGTATTCGTGCACATTGAAAGGAAATTAATTCTCTATAAAAGAAGTGTCAACCAAGTTCATGATCGACAATGACAGATCAAAACAGATGCACATGACTGGCACCAGCGAGAGAGCTTTATATCTATACTAGAGGCCCGGTGCACGAATTCATGCACTGGTGGGATCTCTCAGCCTGGCCAGCGATCAGGGCCAATCAGGGCATGGGAGGTTGGCCAGCCAGAGCGAGGTGATGCAGAGGGTTGGCCAGCCAGCTGGAGGGAGGGGCCACAAGAGGTTGGCTGTGGGAGTGCGCTGACCACCAGGGGGCAGCTCCTGCGTTGAGTCTGCCCCCTGGTGGTCAGTGCGGGTCATAGCGACTGGTCGTTTGGTCATATAGTCACTTATGCTTTTATACATATATCTACACTAATAAAAGAGAAAGATGCGAACTAACCATCACTCCACTATGCCCACAAGCCATGCCCACAAGCCAATCAGGAGCAAGTATGCAAATTAACCCAACTAACATGGCGGCGGCCACGGAGCTGGAGCGAGCAGGAGGCTTGTGTTGTCCCCACCGATGGAGGAAGCCAAGCTTCCTGCCCACCCTGGCCTCCACTGAAGGCTACAAAGTTTCAATTATAGAAGATAAATAAATCCCAGATACCTGCTTCCCTCCGCTCAAGGAGGCGCTGAAAAAAAAAAAGAAAAAAAGAAGGCGCTGGAGCCTGGGTCGCCGGGGGCCATGGCCAGCCTGCAAACAGCCATCAGCCCCTCACCTAGGCTGGCCAGGCACCCCAGAGGGGACCCCCACCCTGAAGGGGGTGTGACCAGCTTGAAAACAGCCCTCAGCCACTCACCCAGGCTGGCCACCACCCCCCCCAGCGGGGAAACCTCACCCCATGGGGGCATGGCCAGCCTGCAAACCACCACAGGCCCCTCTCTCAGGCCACCCAACGCCCCAAGGGAACCCCCATCCTGATCCGGGCACCCTTCAAGGCAAACCAGCCGGCCCCCACCCGTGCACCAGGCCTCTAGTCTATACTAATAAAAGGGTAATATGCTAATTAGACTGGGAGACCTTCCAGGAGCCTTACGGACGTTTTTCTGGACAAAGCCATGGTGGCAGGGCCGAGGTAGAGGCGGTTAGAGGCCAAGAGGGGAGGGGAGTTGTGGGTGATCATGCTGGTGGGGCCGGGGCCGTTGGGGGTAAGCAGACCAGCAGGGGGGCCAGTTGGGGACAAGCAGGCTGTCAGTGGGGGTCAGTTGGAGGTGATCAGGACAGCGAGGGGGCGAGTTTGGAGTGAGCAGGCCAGCAGGGGGGGCAGTTGGGGGCGAGTAGGCCAGTGGGGAGGGGAGGTGGGGGCAAGCAGGCCAGCAGGGGGACAGCTGGGGGTGGGCAGGCTGGCAGGGGAGGCAGTTGGGGCGAGCACACTGACACAGGGGTAGTTGGGGTGATCAGGCTGGCGGGGGGGTGGCATTTGGGGGCAAGCAGGCCGGCAGCAGGGGGCAGTTGGGAGTGAGCAGGCCGCAGGCAGAGTGGCTAGGGGCAATCAGGCAGGCAGGCAGGCAGTCAGGTAAACGGTTAGGAGCCAGCAGTCCCGGATTGTGAGAGGGATGTCTGACTGCTGGTTTAGGCCCGATCCCTGTAAACAGGCAGTAGGACATCCTTTGAGGGGTCCCAGATTGGAGAGGGTGCAGGCTGGGCTGAGGCACACCCGCTCTCCCATGCATGAATATCGTGCACCAGGCCACTAGTATGTATGTGTGTGTGTGTGTATGTATATGTCTGTGTGTGTGTGTGTGTGTGTATAGAGGTAATATGCTAATTAGATTGAACATCTTTTGGACATCATTCTGGACAAACGCCCGGGGGCAGGGACCGAAGCAGGGGCGGTTAGGGGCGATGTGGCCAATAGGGGAGAGCAATTAAGGGCGACCAGACCGGCAGGGGAGGGCAGTTGGGGGTGACTAGCCAGCCAGGGGAAGGAGA